ACCCAAAACAATAGGGTTCAGAGAATCGTTGAAATTAGGAGGCTTAAATTGTTTACTCTTATGATGTTCTATTTTAGACAATAAAGTATAAAATAAATACATGTAAGTACTATAAATATACAGTAAGGAACTTACAGTTTTAAAATAAGTGTTCAATAGGATGCTTACTGTATTAAAGTAAACATTGATAGGCTATTTACTGAATTAAAATAGATGTACATAGGCTACCTTCTTTATTAAAGAAATCGTACAGGTGACACTTCTAAATTTACATAGGTGCAGAAGGCTAGTTTTTGCATTAAAATACTTGTACAGTAAACTGTTTTACTGTAATAAATTATTGTAATTTAAAAAATATTCAATTATTTGTATTACTTATTATAATAAAAATAAGTATACTTAAGGCGAGCTACTGTATTCCAGCAAGTGTACATATGATACAGTATTAAAATATATATACAGCATGCTGCTTACTGTATTATGGTAAGTTACAGTAGACTACTTATTGTATTTAATTATACATTAAGCATCTTATAGCAATAAAGGTCTGTCTAGGATCCTGTTTTGATCATCATGATACTCATCATGGATTTGATCATTTTTTTTTTTTTTTTTTTTTTTTGAGATATATAGAAGAGTTGTTACATGGTTGTAGAGCCACTAGTACGCAAAGCGTTTCGGGCAGGTCCCTGGAATACGATCCCCGCCGCGAAGAATCCTTGTTACAACCAAGTACACATTTTACTGTTGCGTTAAACAGAGGCTACAGTTAAGGAATTGCGCCCAGTAAATCCTCCCCGGCCAGGATACGAACCCATGACATAGCGCTCGCGGAACGCCAGGCGAGTGTCTTACCACTACACCACGGAGACTGTATCATCATGATAATCATCATGGATTTGATCATCATGATAATTGGGTTCACTCGGACTAAAAGTCAGAGAAATTCTCAATATATAAAATGCTACTAAGATTACAACTACAATAGTTACAATAAGATCCCTTAACTAATACAACAGTCTAAACTAATACAGTTGCCTAAACTAATACAACAGTGATACAATAAACAATATTACAAATTTTGACTTTTTTGTTGAAGTGTAAAAAATGCTAGTATATAAATTTCCAAATTTTTTCACACCAACATACCAAAACTTTTCATACCACCAGTATACCAAATCGTGTCAGAAAAATTTTGAGAAAGAAAAGATGAAAACTCAGAATGAGGGAGGTAGAGGGAGGTGAAGGAAGGGTAGAAGGAAGGGCTAAGGGGAAGGAAAAGAAGGCAAGAGGAAGAAAGTGCTGCCACCATCCATTCAAGAGTTATTTATATGACAAGAAATTGAACTTGTCTGTACCACAATATTATCTGATGTTATCACGTAACAACTGTAAGCATGTAAATCATATAGTCAAGAACCTTTAAGTCATATCTTTAGTAAGTACACTTCAGAGTGCTCTCCACTCTAGCTTTCCCTATATCATAAAAAGGAATCTAAGATCTAGGGATCAGAATTAAAAACAATTAAAAAGTACGTTAATCCATTATACTATTATATTCATTTGTATGTTCAAATATCAACATTAATTCAGATTTTGAGTCATCACACAAGAATTTGAGAGCAACTATGGCTGACTGCCCCTGAAAATCACACACAACTTAAATTTGAAACCATATATGTCAGCCTTACAATTTCACTCTCCATATCTGAGAATAAGATGGTTAAGTGGGGGGTGGTATGGCTGACAGAGTCCCAACTGGCCTGGAACAGGACTAGTCTGTGCTGCTGGAACCTCTCTAGTTTATGTGAGGCTTCTCCTCCCTCTCTCTCTCTTTCTCTCTCTCTCTTCGTCTTTTTCTCTCTCTCTCTCTTTTCTCTCTCTCCGCTCTTCTCTCTCTCTTCCTCACTCATCTTCTCTCTCTCTCTCTCTCCCTCTCTCTCCTCTCTAGCTCTCTTCTCTCTCTCCTCTCCTCGCTCGCTCTCATCGTCTCTCTCCCCCTCTCTCTCTCTCTCTGCTCGCTCTCGCTTTCTCCGCTCGCACTCTCCTCTCTCTCGGCTACCCTCTCTCTCTCGCTCCCCCCTCTCTCTCCTCCTTCCTCTCTCTCTCTCCCCTCTCTCTCTCTCTCTCTCCTCTCTCTCTCTCTCTCTCTCTCTCTCTCTCTCTCCCCCCCTCATCTCTCTCTCTCCCTCTCCTCCTCTCTCTCCCTCTCTCTCTCTCTCTCTCCCTCTCGCTCTCCTCTCTCTCTCTCTCCTCACCTCTCGACCTCTCCCTCTCTCTCCCTCTTCCTCTCTCTTCTCTCTCCCTCCTCTCCCTCCCTCTCTCTCTCCCCTCTCTCTCTCTCTCTCCCCCCCTCCTCGTCCCCCTCCCTCTCTCTCTCTCTCCCTCCTCCCTCCTCCTCTCTCCCCCTCTCCTCTCTCCTCTCTCGTCTCTCCCTCTATCTCTCCTCCTCTCTCTCTCGCCCTCTCTCCCCCTTCCTCCTCCCTCATCTCTCTCTCCTCTCCTCCCCTCTCCCGCTCTCTCTCTCTCCTCCTCTCGCCCCCTCTCTCCTCTCTCTCTCCCTCTCTCCCCTCTCTCACTCCTCTCTCCTCTCGCTTCCTCTCCCGCGCTCTCTCCTCTCTCCTCCTCTCTCTCCTCTCTCTCCCCTCTCGTCTCTCTTCTCCCTCCTCTCTCTCTCTCTCTTCTCCCCTCAGTCTCTCTCTCACTCCTCCTCCTCTCTCTCTCCCTCTCTCCCTCTCTCGTCCATCTCTCTCTCTCTCTCCTCTCTCTCTCTCTCTCGTCTCTTCCTCTCTCTCTCTCTCTCTCTCTCCTCCTCTCCCTCTTCTTCCTCTCTCGTCCCTCCCTCTCTCTCCCTCATCTCTCATCCTCTCCTCTCTCTCCTCCTCCTCTCCTCTCTCTCTCTCTCTCTCTCTCTCTTGCTCATCTCTCTCTCTCTCTCTCTCCTCCTCTCTCGCCTCTCGTCTCTCTCTGAATATCCAGCTCGTCCTCCAAAAATGTGGAGGTAAATGTAACAGCCCCATAAGTGCAATTATGTACTATGTATGGCAGTCAGGAATTGTACTTAATTTTCACTTAGTATTAAGCCCGAATGTCAAGTATATTGTGAATATTTGAATTTACCTGAAAAGCTGAATAGAAAACTACGACATAATCTAACCTTCTTAGTATTAGGACAAGCATTTCATTGCTTCTTAATTACAATTATTACTTAACCTATAGCTATACTGATATTACAGTTTTATAAAGCAATAAAACAAAACTAAAATCTTTTCAATAAATTGTAAAGTATCTCATAATATTTCATATTTTTGTATAAAATATCTATTGTTTAATAAAACTGAAAAATATATTCCTTACATATAAAACTTGTATATAGCGAACTTGAACTTGAAAACTTCATCCTAAAAGTCTGAGTGTCTTAACAGAAAACGAGGAGAATAAATGGGGGGAGGGAAATGTAACAGCACCATAATTGTAATTATGTATTATTCCTATGCCAGTAAGGAAATGAACTTATTACACTTGGTATTAAAGCTTCCTGTCAATTCCGAGGATGGATTGCAGCATCTGTGTGTTCAATTCCACGGGTATTTAAGGGGGGACCGGGAGCTAATCTTTGCCTACCAGACCTACCACACCTAGACAGTGGCTTGTTTAATGGAAAGCACACAACAACCCTTCTGCAATTATCAGCTTAGCAGAGAGTGAGGTCACATGGTGCGACCTGACCTCTGCAACATGTGACAATTAAAACTTGAAAGGTGTGACTTTATAAATGCTAAGGGTCAACAGCCAATAGGTTATAATAGGAGCTGCCTCGTATGGGCCAATAGGCTTTCTGCAGTTCTCATTATTACTACTATTCCCTACACCTTACTTTCCTCCTCAGCTCTCTCTTGCCTATTTATTGCCTGTCCCTACCTCCTCATCACAATCGACTTGAGAATGGTCCAGGACGGACCGAAACGTCGTCGTCCCTTCAACTTCTAGTGTGTGGTCTGGTCAACATACTTCAGCCACGTTATTGTGACTCATCGCCTGCAAAAGCCAACATTGAAGCAACTTTAGTTGCAAGTTGAAGCAGCAACATTGCAGAGATTGCAGGAGTACTTACCTAGTTTGAGGAGCCATTGATGGATGGTTTTAGTGGTGGGCCTCAGAACATTATACAGAGAATTATATGGACATCATTGATGTTTGAGGGAATGCATGAATTCATGTTGTGAATGATGCAGTGCAAGGTGAGAGCATTTAGTATTTTCTCGTCTGAATTAATTTATATGCGAGTTGTCTGGCCCAGACTGTGAAAGAGGGGGGGGGGGGTGCTGGCGAGGATTAAAGCAGCACCTTTGTGTACTGTACTCGTTGGAGCAGTAGTATTATATAAGCGTGATGTTAGTTTGTGGGACCTGATGATAGTAGGCTATTATTTCTTGATTCTTTGTATTTTTGTTAATAAATGTTTGTAGACAACTTGCCTTTGCACTTGTCCTGGTGAGAAATTTCTAGAAAGAGAGAGAGAGAGAAAAACAGTTGCAGATTGATCAAGAGCAGATATAATATTATAAAGGGGGAACTGGAAGGAGGTTATCCCAAAGCAAGATAAGTGAGGGTAAGTCACGGTGGCTCAGCGGGTTTTGTACTCATGACATATATAGGCAAGATTTGAGCCGATTCCCCAAATAATACCATACTACTTGTGAAGGAGGAAATGTATATGTTTATCTCTCAGAATGTTCGGTAATATGTTCATTGCTTGTGATGTGTGTCTATGTATGTATTAACACGATGTACTGAACGGGGTGAGAATAGCTTGAGCTACCTCATCCCTTTGTGTGTATTTTACATCAATAAACTTATTTCAATTTCCCCAAATAAGGTGACGTTGAACCCCTTCTCTATACATAAGACGCTTGCTTACAGGGAGACTCTCCAGTGTGTACTCCATTGTTGATTGACAACAGCAGCAAGCAGTAAGTTAAGTGTTAATATTATTAATATTTTATTTTATCAGGAGGAGGGGTGTCGCTGCTGGTGATATAAAATTAACCTCTTAGATATATCCTTGTACAGTATTGGTCGTCATCATGCTGGACCTCAACAGCCTACTCTACACGAAGATGCTTAAAATTTTTAAACAACACACCAACATTTTTGAGTTCCTTCTTTTTCCTCTTATTGTCCTGATGGTAAGACAGAGGCAGTTGCCTTTGACGCCCCTCCGGTGAAGTTCTCGCAGAAGTCTCTTCCCTTTTTCACCTGTAGATGAGAGAGAACACTGAAGCCCACACCTGGCTGCTCACCCCATGTCCCCCACACCTTCAGATGAAAGGGAGCACCGAAGCCCACACCTGGCTACTCCACACACTTATGCCAAAGAAAACTTACAATAAGTAAATCTAGCTTGTATTACTCAAGACAATAGGATAAAAATCCACACTTATCTAATTTGTGATATGTATGTAAAGATTTACACCAAGTCTTTCGCACTCTCTTGAGTGCTTGTGTCAAGGTCTGAGTGTGTAATTAGGACGAGACTTGCATCTTAACAACTAATGCCAATCGTTGAGATGTAAGTCTCATTCTAACCACACACTCAGACCTTAACAAAACACTCAGGAGAGTGCGAAAGACTTGGTGTAAATCTTTACATAACTATCAGAAATTACCTAAGTGTAGGTTTTTATCCTATGTTATTATGTCTGTGAGAAAACATCACCTTTACTTAATTAAGACAATGTTTGTCTAAAACATTGTATGTACTATGCATTGTATGTACTAGTTCTATAAATTCATCAATATTTGTATCACATCTTGTATGTATATACTTTACCTGAATAAACATTTGAATTTGAATAATATGTAAAATTAAACGGTTACTCTAGAAAGACTGTAACTAAACAACAAAGTCAAATACATTCGCGTGTTAAAATGTAGTCAATACGTACTAGTGAGATCTTTGAGTGTTAAGTCCAGGACATCATAGCCTCCGAAAGTGCTAGGACACAATTGAGCCGTCAGCTGGCAGCACCAGTCTATGAGAGGGTTGTCAGCGGTAAGGGCCGGGCTGATCGTCACCTTGAGCCTCCTTCCCTTGTATAACTGACTGGGCATGTTAGTCAGCTCCGTGTCCTCCCTGGCGTCTACGGTAATCTCTGAAAAAGACACACATGAGATATACTTACTGTCATTACTGCTATGTTCTAAGATATAACAGGCAGACATGCTAAGACTCTTACTGGCGGGAACTCACCTAGTTGTGCTTACGGGGGGTTGAGCTTCGGCTCTTTGGTCCCGATTCTCAGTTAACTGGTGTGCAGGTTCCTGAGCCTATTGGGTTTTAACATATCTAAATTTGAAACTGTGTATGGAGTCAGCCTGCACCACATCACTGCTTAATGCATTCCATTTGTTAACTACTCTGACACTGAAAAAAAAAATCTAATATCTCTGTGGCTCATTTAGGTACTCAGTTTCCACCTGTGTCCCCTTGTTCGTGTTCCACACATGCTAAATAGTTTCTTAATGTCCACCCTGTCAATTCCCCTAAGAATATTGAAGGTGATTATCATGTCTTTATTTATGTATACAAGAGTTTTTACATTCTTATAAAGAGACAAGCATGCATCGCGTTTCAGGCAGATTCTTAATGTTAATTTTCCCAGGAAATACGACTCCTGTGAGAGAATGGTCTCTCAGGATTCTCCCACAGCTGACTTGAATTCAGATTCAGATTCAGATTCAGATTCAGATGTTTATTCAGGTAAGGTATATACATACAAGTGATGTTACATTAATGGATTGATATATAGATAGAGCTAGTACATACAATGCCTAAAGCCACTATTACGCAATGCGTTTCAGGCAAGAAAACATTAATATCTAGAACTTAATACTAATTGAGCATAAAGAATAAAAGATGTTGAGAACAAATACAAATAAAGATAAAAAAAAAGGGGGAACATGACTGAAAAAGCAGCACAAATACAATAGGTTGACAAACAGTGTTGATTAAAAAAAAAAAAAAAAAAAAGAAAATAACAGACATGGGTTGACAATAGAGGAGTGAGGTAGATTACAGGGAATTTATTAGGTAGTGTTTAGTTTTTATCTTAAACTGGTTGAGAGAGGTACAGTCTTTAACATGGTTGGGAAGGTCATTCCACATTCTGGGCCCCTTGATTTGCAGAGCATTTCTAGTTTGATTAAGACGTACTCTAGGAATATCAAAACTGTATTTATTTCTGGTGTGGTGCTCATGGGTTCTGTTACAACCTTCTATGAAGCTTTTAAGATCAGGATTGGCATTATAGTTTAGCGTTTTATATATGTATAATACACATGAGAGAATGTGCAGTGACTTAATATCTAACATATTAAGAGATTTGAGTAGGGGTACCGAGTGATGTCTGGGGCCAGAGTTGGATATTGTTCTAATAGCGGCTTTGTGTTGGGTAATTAGAGGACGTAAGTGATTTTGGGTAGTAGAACCCCAAGCACAAATACCATAGTTGAGATAAGGATAGATAAGGGAGTAATAGAGAGTCACCAGGGCAGGGCGTGGTACATAATATCTGATCTTAGAAAGAATGCCCACAGTTTTTGAAACTTTTTTTTATATATTTAGAATGTGTCCCTGGAAATTCAGCTTGTGGTCAATGAGAATGCCAAGGAATTTGCCATCTAATTTGTTACAAATTTGGGTATTGTTTATTTTGAGATTTATAAGACTAGAGGATTTATTGCCAAACAGAATATAGAAGGTTTTGTCAATGTTAAGGGTGAGTTTGTTGGCAGTTAGCCAAAGATGGACTTTATTTAGCTCAGTATTTACTGTGGCATTTAGAGCAAGAGGGTCAGGACTGGAGTAAATGAAGGTTGTGTCGTCAGCAAATAGAATTGGTTTGAGGTGTTGGGAGGCATTTGGAAGGTCATTAATGTAGATGAGAAAGAGGAGAGGGCCAAGTATGCTGCCCTGAGGAACACCAATGTTGATGGGTAGGGTGGGAGAAATTGTATTATTCACAGAAACATATTGGAGCCTGTCAGTAAGGTAGGACTCGAGGTATTGTAGGGAGTGTCCTCTGACTCCATAATGATGTAATTTAAGAAGAAGGTTATGGTGGTTGACAGTATCAAAAGCTTTACGCAGGTCCACAAATAACCCAACAGGGAACTCCTTTTTATCAAGAGCTGTATGAATCGAGTTAAGCATACTAATAAGTGCATCGTTAGTGCTTTTTTTGGGTCTGAAGCCATATTGGCAAGGGCTAAGTATATTGAGTTTGGCTAGATATGAGTAAAGCTGCTTGTATATAAGTTTTTCAAAAATTTTTGACAAGTTTGGCAGGATTGATATAGGTCTGTAGTTGTTAACATCTGTGGGGTCACCACATTTGTGGACAGGCGTTACTCTCGCTTTTTTTAGAATATCTGGAAAGGTTTGGAGTTCAAGTGACTTGTTGAAGAGCAAAGCAATAGCAGGGGCTAAAGATCTGGAGGCTTTTTTGTAAATTAAAGTTGGTATCTGCTCAAGGGCACCAGACTTGGTTTTAAGGGAAAGGATTATCTCATTGACGTCAGTGGAGTTAATAGGCTTTAGGTACAGAGACTGTGGATAGTTACCTGTAAGATAGTCCTTAATGTCAGTACTGGAAGATGGAATATCATTTGCAAGGGATGAACCAATGGAAGAGAAGAACCTATTAAACTCAATAGCAGAATCAGAGGCTGAAAGCTGACCATCGTTATTAGACAGGAGAGTCGGTTTGTTATTTAAAGATTTCTTTGATCCCAATATTTGTGAAATTGTGCTCCAAGTTTGTTTAATGTTGCTCTTTATTTGAGTAAATTTATCTTCGTAGTAATTAGTTTTGGCTCGTCTAATTATCTTAGATAGCAATAATGAGTAATTCTTTGAGAATTCTTTGGAGACAATTCCTAACCTATACTTCTTCTCAAGGTCGTGTTTTTTGTTAATGGATTTCAGTATTCCCTTTGTAAGCCAAGGATTGTTAAGCCTTTTGCTTGTGACTTGTTTTGTAAGCCTAGGACAGTGGGTGTTATAAAGGCTAAGAGTTGTTTGTAGAAAAGATTGCACTGCTAGGTTGATGTCCCCTATGTTACCTAACTCGGACTCCCAGTTGACATTATCAGCAGCAGTTATAAAATTGTTTATAGCAGTTTCATTGTGCAGCCTAAAGCTTAACTCCCTTGTTTCTAGAGGTGGTTTGCTAATGTTAGTTAAGAGAAATGTGGGGTAGTGGTCTGTAGTGCTATCGGTGATTATACCTGAAGTAAGCGGAGAGGTTATGTTGGTCCAGATGTGATCTAGAGTCGTGGCAGTGCTATCAGTGATTCTAGTAGGTCTAGTGATTAAGGGTATGAGGAGGCAGGAATTCATACAGTTGAGGAAGCTAACAGCAGTAGGGTGTTCTGGCTCGCAGAGGTCAATATTAAAGTCCCCTGCGATAATTAGAATGGCTCATTGCAGTACACAGTGCACCGATCCTTGTGCACAAGCCCTATCTCTGTTAACCCTGGATAGTAATCTGTCGTGTTGGGTATCTCCGGGATGCCCACTTAAGCAAGCATGCGTTTATAATACGGAGGCCGCCGTATGTCCAGGCAGGAAGTAGATACAGGGAAGTTACTGGCCATAGGGTCAGTGAGTGCATAGGAGATGCAAGCGTGACAGAGGGAGAGGAGACGCCAGCGAGGCGACTGATCTCTGGGGTCAGCGCATTGGAGAATAACAACTGTGACGTGGTCGTGACGTGTTCATTACGTCACCTCTGCTACTGATCAGGGAACGATCAATATGATTGGTTCCCACTCATTTGCTGCAATGCTATTGATCAAATTGTAATCCCTTGTGTGTCCCACGAGATGCCCTACAGCCGCTGGCAAGGGCATTCACGTGAGGGAGCCCTTGCATAGAGGACGTGTCCTGTTCTTTCTATCGGCCAATAGACAGAAGAACACCGTCCATTCCTCACCGTCAAGTTAAACTCAGCGTCTTTTCAATTTACCAATGCTCGCCCAGAATCGCAACTGTGAATATATCGTTCAGAAGCCTAGTGACAAAATCACCAGAGTGAAACAGACTGGTATCAGGTAACCCCTGGTGACAAAGATCGTTGTGAGGGACCTAGAGTGAACTAAGGCAGTGCCGCTGCCTAAGTAACCTGTGTGTGACTTTAACACAGTGTACCTCATGGTATCATATAATCAGCCGCCAGCCGCCACTCGGTCCAGAGCGTGTACCTAGTACCTCGGTACCTCGAGCCGCCCTGCCTCACACTATGTGACGTCACCACCTTACTCACCGCCTGTGCCATCAAATGTGTGTGCGTGTGTCTGTTGACATACAGCGTGCCCTCCTGCGAGTACCCCCGTGTCAAGTATGGTTTGTGAGAAAGCCTGTCGCCATGTGGGACATTTGGGCTTGACTCTATTTATTTAATTATTAAAGTAATGAAATCAATTACGAAGGACCACCTGCTTTTATAGAAAAGAGGGAAACTAATAAAAAAGTGATCATTAGAAATTCCAGGAAGAACCAGTGTCTATGGCTAAACATTAGGAAGTATAATCACTTAAATAATTAATGGGCTGTATAGATAATTTACTTGAATCAAAGCCTCAAACACCTACATTGGGGGGTTATTGGTAGAACTTCATATACGTCTAGGAACTAGTGTGGTTCGTGCACCAGTTCATTGTGTAATAACCTAATCTTATGACCAATTAAAGAAATCAATAGAAAATTTATCACCAGTAAATATCATTAACATCAGAAATTAATCGTTCTAATAAACACGCATTATCTCCAGTGTACACAGCATTCCATTAAATGATAAAATAAAATAATGAGAATTTGAATAATTAAGGAAATACGAAAAGTCTTAGCTTGAAGACGATTTCAAAGACATTAGTTACGAATCATCCTCGGGATCTCCGGAATTCCTCGTAGAACACTGGGAGATGAATAACACGGGTAAGGTAACAGCTCGTGGATTCTTCACACGCGAGCTTTAATTTAAGAGATATTACGTAGCAATGCACTAGGCTACTAAAATATCTATATTCATGGAAATGGAAAATAAATTAGTTAGAATACTAACATGGGTTTTGTTGAGGTTGCTCAATGTAACGACAAGCTACCCCGACATATACAATCTCTAATGATGCATCAAAAGGGACTTATATATATATACTTAGCTAAGGGGTACAGATTAAGTTGAGGCTTGCCGAAACCGCATCCCAAGCTCCACTCTCACAATGGCGAACACGTGGTTGATAGCTTGGCTTGAATGTCGACGCGTTTAGTTGGCCGGTCACGACAGATCACGTAGAACAAAATTAACTAGTTCTATGATGAGTATCAGGTTAAATCTTGCTGACAACTTCACCGTAACGTGTCCTAGACTCTGACACCAAAACTTGTTGCTCAATTCCGCAACATGTGACTTCACGCCGCACTCTGGCGTCTTGTCCTCCTCGAGCCACAAATCACAATGGCGTCTCCCTCTCCGCTCGCGTCTCGCATTCGCCACAGAAATTATTTATCACGAATAATATTATTTCGCGTAGTTGTGGCTAAAATGCTTTAATAAAGACTGGGTTGTAATTCTAGGGAGTTAAATATTATTACTTTCTCGTCTTATGGTAGTAAGCAAGAAATGGAGAAGATTTTAGTTTTCTCCCTGGCATTCACGCGTGACGTTAAATTTATTACTTGATAACAATTGGAACTAAAAACTCTCGATTTGGAATTATTTGGGAGTTATGTTATCCGTAAATAATTATCACATGGAATACTGATGATTTTAGAGAATCACATTCAATTCTCTAACACACTGGATATAAATGTGTTTAACTAGGTAGAATCTGACGCAATACTGGAGCTTGGTTTCGTAAGAATTCCAGTATTATTATACAGATATGATTATTAGTTCATGTGAACCCTACTGTTAGTAAATTTTTAGTAACTACAGTAATTAGTATATTTTAACACTAGTTTATAATAATAATACAATAATATTGTATTAGTGTTGGAAATTTCCAACACGCCAATGGTCTCACATCAGAACGAGCGCCCAGCTGTCAGGCCACCTACTAGTTCTTGCATAAATGTGCCTGAGTGAGTGAATGAATGAGAGGTACCCTACCTGTAAGTACAAGATCTTGTCATTGTTTTATTGTGTCTGTCTGTGATGATCTGAGGAATCAACCACAGTTCTCACCTTCTTATACCTGACACAGATATAGGTGAAGACACCCCTGACGGTGTATGCGTGTTTATCTGTGTGATATCACGATATTACACTCGTCTGTGAATGTGAGCTTCACATACACCACACATTTAGTTATTGTGTAATATTATTATTGTGCATGTTATTGCCTGTCCCATTGACAGTGCCGTTGTTGAGTTATTGCATATCATCGTTCTGGCTCCCAACCCCCCCCCCCCCTCACTCGAAACTTGAGAACTACGGTAATTCGTCACTGGTCCTAAGTCTGTCAAATGGTTAGTGGCGAAGGCAGGAGAGGGGAAACGGATTGGAAAAGGGGATTGGAAGGACTGGGAGACAACGATTGGAGGAAATTGGAGAAATAGGAATATGGGGGAACAAGTGACTTGACCACCTGCCTAAAGGGTAATTTGACTTGAGTAGGATATGGCAGGAACTGCCAACAAGGAGGGGGGGGGGGAGAGTGACCAGAGGGTCGGACTGACAACTGGAGAGGGGAAGGGAAAAGGAATGAGGCAATGGGGGAAGGGGTGAATGGACAAGGACAAAAGGAAGGGGAGAAGGACGGAGAGGGGAGAGCCATGAACTGAGCACCAGATTATTACAGTGTGTTGTTGTAAGGTTAAATGATACCATACATATTATAGTATTTTCCATGTATACTGAATATTCCTTTTCCAGGAGAAAACCAGTGAGATGACAGTGAGTAAGGGTTAGTCTGAATGATAACCTGAATTGTTGTATACTGTGTTATTATTGATTAATTTTTTTTTTTGAGATATATACAAGAGTTGTTACATTCTTGTAGAGCCACTAGTACGCGTAGCGTTTCGGGCAAGTCCTTAATCCTATGGTCCCTGGAATACGATCCCCGCCGCGAAGAATCCTTGTTACAACCAAGTACACATTTTACTGTTGAGTTAAACAGAGGCTACAGTTAAGGATTTGCGCCCAGTAAATCCTCCCCGGCCAGGATACGAACCCATGACAAAGCGCTCGCGGAACGCCAGGCGAGTGTCTTACCACTGCACCACGGGGGACTGAATTAATTGTGATTTATTAATTGCTTTGATATTCTGATCCGTGTTGTGTTTTAATCTTGTGGCGTGTTATTAATTAAGCAGTGTGTAGTGAAGCCTAGTGTTAACGTGTTCTGATTTGTCTGCGTGACAAGGCGTGTTATTAATTAAGCAGTGTGTAGTGAAGCCTAGTGTTAACGTGTCCTGATTTGTCTGCGTGACAAGGCGTGTTATTAATTAAGCAGTGTGTAGTGAAGCCTAGTGTTAACGTGTTCTGATTTGTCTGCGTGACAAGGCGTGTTATTAATTAAGCAGTGTGTAGTGAAGCCTAGTGTTAACGTGTTCTGATTTGTCTGCGTGACAAGGAATTTAGGTAATCTTCAATTATTAATTGAAAAGTCAATGAAGTAATTTCCATTGTTGTGATAACTGTCCGTTGAAGCATTGTATTTAACGTAATTAGTCCAGGGGGTGACTATAATTCTTGTTTGGTAAGCTGTCTTAAATGATAGCCTTGAGTTAACGTAATTTGCATTATTGTAATTTGTAAGGGAGTAGAAATAGCCTAAGCTACTCTATCCCTTTGAGATGTATTTCTTTCTTATCTCAATAAACATACTTGAACTTGAACGTAATTTGCCTTGATTAATTAACTGTCTGTTTGACAGTAATTAATGTGGGTAAGAGAGAGAGAAAGGACAGGAAGCATCGTGAATCTTGCATGGAAGGACAGGAAGCATCGTGAATCTTGCATGGAAGGACAGGAAGCATCGTGAATCTTGCATGGAAGGACAGGAAGCATCGTGAATCTTGCAGGGAAGGACAGGAAGCATCGTGAATCTTGCATGGAAGGACAGGAAGCATCGTGAATCTTGCAGGGAAGGACAGGAAGCATCGTGAATCTTGCAGGGAAGGAAAGGAAGCATCGTGAATCTTGCAGGGAAGGAGAGGAAGCATCGTGAATCTTGCAGGGAAGGATAGGAAGCATCGTGAATCTTGCAGGGAAGGAGAGGAAGCAGCGAGAATACAAAGCGTTGCATTAGATCTCATCAAGCAACAAACTATGCTGACGCTCAACAATGAAGCTTTTGTGTCTAATGTTGGAATTATTTCATATCACCAACATGTCTCAAAACCAATATGTTGTGAACATATTAGGAGGTCCTGTGTCATATTTTTATTATATTGTGAATATGTCTTGACCAAGAGTCAAGGCCACAGTGGAAGGTCATTTGGATCAAGGTCAGAAGAAGGCAAAATGGACCAAGGATCAAGTTCTCAAGGCCATCTGTGTCATGAGTCAAGGTCACAGGTAAAGCTTATCTATAAAGGCCGCCAAAAGTCAAGGTTATCTTCTTGAGATGATTTCGGGGCTTAGCTTTCCGGCGACCCGTTCCTTGACCAGGCCTCCTTATTTGTTATCAGGTCAAAAATAAAAATCATGTGAACCAAAAGTATGGCGTCGCTAACTACTTCAAGTAGTTATTTATACTCAATAATATATACAGCTGCAGAAAGTTTGGAAGTTAGCTGTTCAGGGAGTTTGTCGCCCTTAAGGTGGTTATATTTGTAAGCAACGTGTCTGAACTATCATATTAAACCTGAGGAATGAAGCACTTCGTCTATTGTTTTGTTGTTAATATGACACTTAAAATTATGTGGAAAACATAAATATTTACCTAGGTCTTCTAGACTCGGAAGGTTTGGCAGGTGATGTATGAAGACAGGCAGTTGATGAAGTGTGAGGCGCAGGTCAAGGACTTCAATGGTGTGAGGCAGGAGGGGTATGGCTGCTTCAGACAAGTAACCTTTAAACCACTTTAAGGTACACTGACTGCCAGGGGCTGTTAGCCTTTCCAAAAATTTGTATGATAAGTCGTTATTTCTGCTGTAAAGAGGATCTTCAAATTGTATGTCTATGGTTACTACATTATTTGCAAGCTCAGACAGTGCAGACAGGAGTTGGTTTAATTGTGGTGTATCGTCTAAGCACAGGAAGATTTCCTCAGGCGTCACCTCCCTCAGAACAGGCGGCAGGAAAACACACGAGAGAACACTGCTTATTGACCACTTGTCTTTTGTACGCAGCTTCTCACACACGGCTTGGATGACGTGCTTACTCTCGCGGGACTCTGCTACGTGCTTCAACAGCTCGTCATCAATCGATTTTTTTTCCATTTCGCACAGAAGATCAACTATATGAGTAATGAACTTGTGCTCTACTCCTTGGGCACTCAGCACACCGGTAGTGCTGAGTAAAATGCTCTGCCATCTGGAACGCTCAACAATTTCGTCTGTCGTGACGTCTGATTTCTGCAGATGATCTGGCGAGAAACCTATTTGCGTATGCACAACATCCTTCAGGAGGTCAGTAATTCTAGAGCTTTTCTCTGACACACACTGTTGTTCTCGATAGTCTCCTTCTCCCTCCTTCCTCAACTGAGCGACCAGCCCCCTGCTGGCACAATACTCCTGGTACCTGGCGTGAAAATAGCCAAACACCGTCACCACATCGAGGCCCCGACGGTAGCTGGTTCTTGTTAAATAGTTGGACAAGACCTCCTCCTGCGGCAGTCCCAGAGTGTCACACTTCTCCCTAATCTCCGCTTCTGTCTCTGGCCAAAGGTCGTACTCCTGCCTCTTGATCCCTCTTAAACTGACCTCTTCAAAAAACCTCAAAAACTTCTCACAACTGCTTTTGGGGTCAGTCACCTGATCTATGAGTCTGGACACCAGTTTTTTGGTTATGAAGTCATGAATCTTCTCATAGACTTGAGTGTTTGTGGTGAGATTGTTAAATTCTTCTGGAGCCTCGACGCACAGCAGCGCCAACAAGATCAAGGTGAGTGGAGTGTTGAGGTACTCGCCCAGGAACTCACTCATCTGTTCCAGCCGCTGGGTAAATTTCTCTTTGACACTCTGTTGGCTCTCTTCCTCCACCAGCACCTTGGTGATTCTCTCGGCGAACTCCACGTGACGTTCTGGAGTGATGCCCAAGACGAGGATGTTGTAGCAAGGTCTGGTGGGTGGGACGAGCAGTGACAGTTGTTGGTCCCACCCCGGCCGTGTGGTTATCACCAACCTCACATCCTTGCCAGGCAGGTGCAACAGCTCCTTCACCAGCCTTCTTGAATACTTGTTGACCTCGTCGTAGCCGTCAATCAGGACTAATATATTTAAGCTCAAGATTGTCTCCTTAAATAATTTGAAGTCGGCATCAGAATCACGAAGTGTTTGAGGCAGCAACTGGCGGAGGAGATCATCGAAGGTATTAAGATGTGTGTTCCTACACTGTACATAGAAAACGAGGTCCTCAGTGCCCAGGTGACGTATGGCAGCAGGGTCCTCTACCCACTTCTCGAGGATGAGCTTGAGTAACGTTGTCTTGCCCATACCACCTTCCCCCGTCAGGAGGACACATTGAGGGACTCTTCCGTCCTCTCGTCTCATACTCAAGATGTCTTCATACTTTATATCCTCATTCCTGGTAGCATGGGAGGGTCTTGTGTTATCCTGACCCTTGGTCGCGTGGGAGGGTCTTGCCCCTATGACGGGATTTTCAAGGAGTCGCAGATTTGTAAAAGCAAGACTTGGGTTGTAGTTAATGTTGAGGTGGAGCCAGGGTGCGGGAACAATCTGGTACAGCAGTTTATACACCTCAGTTAGTTCCCACTTGCTCGTCTGCTTAACCTTTTCTGTGATGTAGCTTTTGTATTTCTTATTGTCCTGATTGAACTGAGACAAGTGCGCCACATCTGAGGGATCCAGCGGCTCTCTGACCTTCGCTAGCATACCACCAATATACTCTTTGACATCTCTGGTCACGTGGCTCACATCCTGGCTGTTTGTCCTACACCGGTCGCCGGCCTCAGCCAGCATCTTGGCCAATAAGTCACTGAGCTCCGTCAGTGTTGACGTAAGATCTTGCTCTGACATTCTCACATTATCATGGGCCAACGTGTTTCGGTGTTGCTTGAGGCTGTAAATGAGGTGTTCAAGTGATGGTCCCTGAGGCCCTGGAGTGGTCCACGTGGGGTCATTCATCTCAGCCAGACCACACACACGTTGCAGGAGTTTATACAACAGGGTGATGTCAAAAGTTGCCGCGTCAGAGGAAGCTTCGAGTTTATCCCTCTGTTGAGCATCGAAGACACGCCTGTACTGAGCATTGGTGTACCCCAAGTCCTGAGTGAGGTAAGTCACTACTGGGAAGGTGCCCCGGTACGACCACATAAACACACTTGCTAGCGCGTCTCGTCCTGCCTTAGTCACAGCCAGTCCATACCACAGTCTGTTCACATCTTCCGGTTGGATAACGGGACTTAAGGCAGCCATATTGAGCTGTATGATTCTCCTCAAACAAGTGTTATCAAGCTTCACACAAGCAGTAAATGTCCCACGCTAGTTTTGTTATTATATTATGTTAAAAACGATAAACAAAATCCCACTGTTGGGAACAGGAAACGTGTGAGGTTTATTGAGGTCTTCCTAAGCCAACGACGGTCCTTCCTCAGGATTCAACCCTGACTGATTTCCGGGTACTTAGTTACTGCTAAATGAACAGAGGTATCAGGTGTAAGGAGACATGTCTTGACGTCTCACACTGCAAATGAATCAAACTCGGGTCTAGTCGGTAATGATCCGACTGCTCCAACCACAATACAGTTCACTTAATTGATTACAAAATATATGTGGTTTCCAAATAAACCATAATTAAGGAAATGTGTTCACGTGTAATTGTTGTTTATGCAATGTACTGTCCCAACTTTACTGGTTATTTTCAATTTATTCAGTTTTAGTTAATTTCTTCTGTCTTCCTAACTCTCAGATTTCTGGCATCTGGAAAAAAAAAACATGTAGCATTTTTAATACAAGATATTAGTGTTAAATATTGGGTCAGAAATACATTTTTGAAAACAATAAAACACATAAAATTCCAAAGCCTGCCTCCTGTATATTTCTTGAGGTTATCTTGAGATGATTTCGGGGCTTTAGTGTCCCCGCGGCCCGGTCCTCGACCAGGCCTCCACCCCCAGGAAGCAGCCCGTGACAGCTGACTAACACCCAGGTACCTATTTTACTGCTAGGTAACAGGGGCATAGGGTGAAAGAAACTGTTGCCCATTGTTTCTCGCCGGCGCCTGGGATCGATCCCAGGACCACAGGATCACAAGTCCAGCGTGCTGTCCGCTCGGCCGACCGGCTATTTGTTTTATTTTATATCATAAAACTTTCCATGTTTTAACATAACTCCTGTGATCACTGACTGTTGACTTCTGAGTTTGAGTAATAATAGTGCTCATTTTCTCCCACAGAAAATGGACGTGTGAAGTTGGGAATGTTGTTATCTGCCATTATCTTGTTCTTTTGAGGGCCTATTAAGATTATGCAGTTCAGTTTGGTCACCGTACAATATAAATGATATTGTATGGTGACCAAACTGAACTGCATAATCTTAACAGAACAAGATAATGGCAGATAATAACATTACCAACTTCACACCATCCATTTTATCAAGCTAGAACCTTGGGGCTAGCCTCTCTCACCACTATATATAATGGACTAATTTCACTTGAACACGAAAAGGGAAGAATGACTATTTATTGCCTGTCCCTACCTCCTCATCACAATCGACTTGAGAATGGTCCAGGACGGACCGAAACGTCGTCGTCCCTTCAACTTCTAGTGTGTGGTCTGGTCAACATACTTCAGCCCCGTTATTGTGACTCCTCGCCTGCATAAGAATGACAAAATTGATCTCAAGAATTAGAACCCTCCCGTACGAAGAGAGATTAAAGAAGCTTTATTTAAACATTCTTTGGAATACGAAAATTATATGTGACATAATTCATGTACACAAAAGGATGAAAATTTATATAAAAGATAATAATAATTTGTTAAATATATCACCACAAAATAGAACCCGAAACAATAATCTGTATCTATAAAAATTAATGTCTATCAGAGGTTGAAGGCTAGAAGCTTGGGGCTAGCCTCACCAAATTTTTTAACAGTAATTGCTGTTGGGTACGTGCCCAACAGGGTATGGCATATATGAACCGAGTGCCATATATATATATATATATATATATATATATATATATATATATATATATATATATATATATATATATATATATATATATATATGTCGTACCTAGTAGCCAGAACGCACTTCTCAGCCCACTATGCAAGGCCCGATTTGCCTAATAACCCAAGTTTTCCTGAATTAATATATTTTCTCTGTTTTTTTATGAAATGATAAAGCTACCCATTTAATTATGTATGAGGTCAATTTTTTTTTATTGTAGTTAAAATTAACGTAGATATATGACCGAACCTAACCAACCCTACCTAACCTAACCTAACCTATCTTTATAGGTTAGGTTAGGTTAGGTAGCCGAAAAAGTTAGGTTAGGTTAGGTTAGGTAGTCGAAAAAACATTAATTCATGAAAACTTGGCTTATTAGGCAAATCGGGCCTTGCATAGTAGGCTGAGAAGTGCGTTCTGGCTACTAGGTACGACATATATATATATATATATATATATATATATATATATATATATATATATATATATATATATATATATATATATATATATATATATATATGAGGCACAACTCTCCTAAACACGAGAGTTAAGTATACAACTTTTAGAACACCTTTCACACATAAAGGACCCTAAACAAGTCCTGGGAGGTGTGGAAGCTTCAGGGCCTCAACACACTAGGGAACCCTAAACAAGTCCTGGGAGGTGTGGAAGCTTCAGAGCCTCAACACACTAGGGAACCCTAAACAAGTCCTGGGAGGTGTGGAAGCTTCAGGGCCTCAACACACTAGGGAACCCTAAACAAGTCCTGGGAGGTGTGGAAGCTTCAGAGCCTCAACACACTAGGGAACCCTAAACAAGTCCTGGGAGGTGTGGAAGCTTCAGAGCCTCAACACACTAGGGAACCCTAACCAAGTCCTGGGAGGTGTGGAAGCTTCAGGGCCTCAACACACTAGGGAACCCTAAACAAGTCCTGGGAGGTGTGGAAGCTTCAGAGCCTCAACACACTAGGGAACCCTAACCAAGTCCTGGGAGGTGTGGAAGCTTCAGGGCCTCAACACACTAGGGAACCCTAACCAAGTCCTGGGAGGTGTGGAAGCTTCAGGGCCTCAACACACTAGGGAACCCTAAACAAGTCCTGGGAGGTGTGGAAGCTTCAGGGCCTCAACACACTAGGGAACCCTAAACAAGTCCTGGGAGGTGTGGAAGCTTCAGGGCCTCAACACACTAGGGAACCCTAACCAAGTCCTGGGAGGTGTGGAAGCTTCAGGGCCTCAACACACTAGGGAACCCTAACCAAGTCCTGGGAGGTGTGGAAGCTTCAGGGCCTCAACACACTAGGGAACCCTAACCAAGTCCTGGGAGGTGTGGAAGCTTCAGGGCCTCAACACACTAGGGAACCCTAACCAAGTCCTGGGAGGTGTGGAAGCTTCAGGGCCTCAACACACTAGGGAACCCTAACCAAGTCCTGGGAGGTGTGGAAGCTTCAGGGCCTCAACACACTAGGGAACCCTAAACAAGTCCTGGGAGGTGTGGAAGCTTCAGGGCCTCAACACACTAGGGAACCCTAAACAAGTCCTGGGAGGTGTGGAAGCTTCAGGGCCTCAACACACTAGGGAACCCTAACCAAGTCCTGGGAGGTGTGGAAGCTTCAGGGCCTCAACACACTAGGGAACCCTAAACAAGACCTGGGAGGTGTGGAAGCTTCAGGGCCTCAACACACTAGGGAACCCTAAACAAGTCCTGGGAGGTGTGGAAGCTTCAGGGCCTCAACACACTAGGGAACCCTAAACAAGTCCTGGGAGGTGTGGAAGCTTCAGGGCCTCAACACACTAGGGAACCCTAAACAAGTCCTGGGAGGTGTGGAAGCTTCAGAGCCTCAACACACTAGGGAACCCTAAACAAGTCCTGGGAGGTGTGGAAGCTTCAGGGCCTCAACACACTAGGGAACCCTAAACAAGTCCTGGGAGGTGTGGAAGCTTCAGGGCCTCAACACACTAGGGAACCCTAAACAAGTCCTGGGAGGTGTGGAAGCTTCAGGGCCTCAACACACTAGGGAACCCTAAACAAGTCCTGGGAGGTGTGGAAGCTTCAGGGCCTCAACACACTAGGGAACCCTAACCAAGTCCTGGGAGGTGTGGAAGCTTCAGGGCCTCAACACACTAGGGAACCCTAAACAAGTCCTGGGAGGTGTGGAAGCTTCAGGGCCTCAACACACTAGGGAACCCTAAACAAGTCCTGGGAGGTGTGGAAGCTTCAGGGCCTCAACACACTAGGGAACCCTAACCAAGTCCTGGGAGGTGTGGAAGCTTCAGGGCCTCAACACACTAGGGAACCCTAAACAAGTCCTGGGAGGTGTGGAAGCTTCAGGGCCTCAACACACTAGGGAACCCTAAACAAGTCCTGGGAGGTGTGGAAGCTTCAGGGCCTCAACACACTAGGGAACCCTAACCAAGTCCTGGGAGGTGTGGAAGCTTCAGGGCCTCAACACACTAGGGAACCCTAAACAAGTCCTGGGAGGTGTGGAAGCTTCAGGGCCTCAACACACTAGGGAACCCTAAACAAGTCCTGGGAGGTGTGGAAGCTTCAGGGCCTCAACACACTAGGGAACCCTAAACAAGTCCTGGGAGGTGTGGAAGCTTCAGGGCCTCAACACACTAGGGAACCCTAAACAAGTCCTGGGAGGTGTGGAAGCTTCAGGGCCTCAACACACTAGGGAACCCTAAACAAGTCCTGGGAGGTGTGGAAGCTTCAGGGCCTCAACACACTAGGGAACCCTAAACAAGTCCTGGGAGGTGTGGAAGCTTCAGGGCCTCAACACACTAGGGAACCCTAAACAAGTCCTGGGAGGTGTGGAAGCTTCAGGGCCTCAACACACTAGGGAACCCTAAACAAGTCCTGGGAGGTGTGGAAGCTTCAGGGCCTCAACACACTAGGGAACCCTAAACAAGTCCTGGGAGGTGTGGAAGCTTCAGGGCCTCAACACACTAGGGAACCCTAAACAAGTCCTGGGAGGTGTGGAAGCTTCAGGGCCTCAACACACTAGGGAACCCTAACCAAGTCCTGGGAGGTGTGGAAGCTTCAGGGCCTCAACACACTAGGGAACCCTAAACAAGTCCTGGGAGGTGTGGAAGCTTCAGGGCCTCAACACACTAGGGAACCCTAAACAAGTCCTGGGAGGTGTGGAAGCTTCAGGGCCTCAACACACTAGGGAACCCTAAACAAGTCCTGGGAGGTGTGGAAGCTTCAGGGCCTCAACACACTAGGGAACCCTAAACAAGTCCTGGGAGGTGTGGAAGCTTCAGGGCCTCAACACACTAGGGAACCCTAACCAAGTCCTGGGAGGTGTGGAAGCTTCAGGGCCTCAACACACTAGGGAACCCTAAACAAGTCCTGGGAGGTGTGGAAGCTTCAGGGCCTCAACACACTAGGGAACCCTAAACAAGTCCTGGGAGGTGTGGAAGCTTCAGGGCCTCAACACACTAGGGAACCCTAAACAAGTCCTGGGAGGTGTGGAAGCTTCAGGGCCTCAACACACTAGGGAACCCTAAACAAGTCCTGGGAGGTGTGGAAGCTTCAGGGCCTCAACACACTAGGGAACCCTAAACAAGTCCTGGGAGGTGTGGAAGCTTCAGGGCCTCAACACACTAGGGAACCCTAAACAAGTCCTGGGAGGTGTGGAAGCTTCAGGGCCTCAACACACTAGGGAACCCTAAACAAGTCCTGGGAGGTGTGGAAGCTTCAGGGCCTCAACACACTAGGGAACCCTAAACAAGTCCTGGGAGGTGTGGAAGCTTCAGGGCCTCAACACACTAGGGAACCCTAACCAAGTCCTGGGAGGTGTGGAAGCTTCAGGGCCTCAACACACTAGGGAACCCTAAACAAGTCCTGGGAGGTGTGGAAGCTTCAGGGCCTCAACACACTAGGGAACCCTAAACAAGTCCTGGGAGGTGTGGAAGCTTCAGGGCCTCAACACACTAGGGAACCCTAAACAAGTCCTGGGAGGTGTGGAAGCTTCAGGGCCTCAACACACTAGGGAACCCTAAACAAGTCCTGGGAGGTGTGGAAGCTTCAGGGCCTCAACACACTAGGGAACCCTAAACAAGTCCTGGGAGGTGTGGAAGCTTCAGGGCCTCAACACACTAGGGAACCCTAAACAAGTCCTGGGAGGTGTGGAAGCTTCAGGGCCTCAACACACTAGGGAACCCTAAACAAGTCCTGGGAGGTGTGGAAGCTTCAGGGCCTCAACACACTAGGGAACCCTAAACAAGTCCTGGGAGGTGTGGAAGCTTCAGGGCCTCAACACACTAGGGAACCCTAAACAAGTCCTGGGAGGTGTGGAAGCTTCAGGGCCTCAACACACTAGGGAACCCTAAACAAGAGCTGACAAGGGGTGAGGCTATGACTGACTTAGCGGTATTGCACCACCATCAACCATGCGCTCTGGTACTGTCATAAAGTTAGCACTATTTCCACACTGATTATTTACAACTTATTAGCACTACGCGTAATATAATGAACAATACAAAGTATACACCCAGGAAAAGAATATATTAGCGTACCAGTATACCCGCTAGCTGGCTGTAGGAGGTGCCGAGGACCCTTATCTTGTCCGGATGAAGAGGAGAATGGCGCAAGTGTTCTAAAGTTGTATACTTAACTCTCGTGTTTAGGAGAGTTGTGCCTTAAGCAGAGACACTGTGTCTTCCCATATTAACAGGGACTTGATGAAATTAACGTCTAAATGACCCCTCACTTGCTCTGGTGCTCTTGGGAGGTGTTGATCTTTGGGGTATTTAAATACTCCGAAATTACCATCTCTTTTAAGGGTCTGAGCGGTGGTGGAGAGGGTTAAGGCGTACCTGTTATGCCAGTTGCTGGAAGGCTTCTGTGCTGGCTAGGGATCGAGTCTCCTGGTGGGAAAGTGTTCTAAAAGTTGTATATATATAACTGAAAACTCACACCCCAGAGTGATATGTATTTGCAGGACATATGATTTGCATATGTCCTGGGGACCATTCAGGCTTGTTCGCACTTGTATATATATATATATATATATATATATATATATATATATATATATATATATATATATATATATACAACTTTTAGAACACTTTCCCACCAGGAGACTCGATCCCTAGCCAGCACAGAAGCCTTCCAGCAACTGGCATATATATATATATATATATATATATATATATATATATATATATATATATATATATATGTATATATATATATATATATATATATATATATATATATATATAATGTATAAAGTAACTTTATTAAAATGTTCATTACCTTAATTATTATTATCATTATGTGGAAGCTTCAGGGCCTCAACACACTGGGGAACCCTAAACAAGTCCTGGGAGGTGTGGAAGCTTCAGGGCCTCAACACACTAAGGAACCCTAACCAAGACCTGGGAGGTGTGGAAGCTTCAGGGCCTCAACACACTAGGGAACCCTAAACAAGTCCTGGGAGGTGTGGAAGCTTCAGGGCCTCAACACACTAAGGAACCCTAACCAAGACCTGGGAGGTGTGGAAGCTTCAGGGCCTCAACACACTAAGGAACCCTAAACAAGTCCTGGGAGGTGTGGAAGCTTCAGGGCCTCAACACACTAAGGAACCCTAAACAAGTCCTGGGAGGTATGGAAGCTTCAGGGCCTCAACACACTAAGGAACCCTAAACAAGTCCTGGGAGGTGTGGAAGCTTCAGGGCCTCAACACACTAAGGAACCCTAAACAAGTCCTGGGAGGTATGGAAGCTTCAGGGCCTCAACACACTGGGGAACCCTAAACAAGTCCTGGGAGGTGTGGAAGCTTCAGGGCCTCAACACACTAAGGAACCCTAACCAAGACCTGGGAGGTGTGGAAGCTTCAGGGCCTCAACACACTAAGGAACCCTAAACAAGTCCTGGGAGGTGTGGAAGCTTCAGGGCCTCAACACACTAAGGAACCCTAAACAAGTCCTGGGAGGTATGGAAGCTTCAGGGCCTCAACACACTAAGGAACCCTAAACAAGTCCTGGGAGGTGTGGAAGCTTCAGGCCCTCAACACACTGGGGAACCCTAACCAAGACCTGGTAGGTGTGGAAGCTTCAGGGCCTCAACACACTAGGGAACCCTAACCAAGTCCTGGGAGGTGTGGAAGCTTCAGGGCCTCAACACACTAGGGAACCCTAAACAAGTCCTGGGAGGTGTGGAAGCTTCAGGGCCTCAACACACTAGGGAACCCTAACCAAGTCCTGGGAGGTGTGGAAGCTTCAGGGCCTCAACACACTAGGGAACCCTAAACAAGACCTGGGAGGTGTGGAAGCTTCAGGGCCTCAACACACTAGGGAACCCTAAACAAGTCCTGGGAGGTGTGGAAGCTTCAGGGCCTCAACACACTAGGGAACCCTAAACAAGTCCTGGGAGGTGTGGAAGCTTCAGGGCCTCAACACACTAGGGAACCCTAAACAAGTCCTGGGAGGTGTGGAAGCTTCAGAGCCTCAACACACTAGGGAACCCTAAACAAGTCCTGGGAGGTGTGGAAGCTTCAGGGCCTCAACACACTAGGGAACCCTAAACAAGTCCTGGGAGGTGTGGAAGCTTCAGGGCCTCAACACACTAGGGAACCCTAAACAAGTCCTGGGAGGTGTGGAAGCTTCAGGGCCTCAACACACTAGGGAACCCTAACCAAGTCCTGGGAGGTGTGGAAGCTTCAGGGCCTCAACACACTAGGGAACCCTAAACAAGTCCTGGGAGGTGTGGAAGCTTCAGGGCCTCAACACACTAGGGAACCCTAACCAAGTCCTGGGAGGTGTGGAAGCTTCAGGGCCTCAACACACTAGGGAACCCTAAACAAGTCCTGGGAGGTGTGGAAGCTTCAGGGCCTCAACACACTAGGGAACCCTAAACAAGTCCTGGGAGGTGTGGAAGCTTCAGGGCCTCAACACACTAGGGAACCCTAACCAAGTCCTGGGAGGTGTGGAAGCTTCAGGGCCTCAACACACTAGGGAACCCTAAACAAGTCCTGGGAGGTGTGGAAGCTTCAGGGCCTCAACACACTAGGGAACCCTAAACAAGTCCTGGGAGGTGTGGAAGCTTCAGGGCCTCAACACACTAGGGAACCCTAACCAAGTCCTGGGAGGTGTGGAAGCTTCAGGGCCTCAACACACTAGGGAACCCTAACCAAGTCCTGGGAGGTGTGGAAGCTTCAGGGCCTCAACACACTAGGGAACCCTAAACAAGTCCTGGGAGGTGTGGAAGCTTCAGGGCCTCAACACACTAGGGAACCCTAAACAAGTCCTGGGAGGTGTGGAAGCTTCAGGGCCTCAACACACTAGGGAACCCTAAACAAGTCCTGGGAGGTGTGGAAGCTTCAGGGCCTCAACACACTAGGGAACCCTAAACAAGTCCTGGGAGGTGTGGAAGCTTCAGGGCCTCAACACACTAGGGAACCCTAAACAAGTCCTGGGAGGTGTGGAAGCTTCAGGGCCTCAACACACTAGGGAACCCTAAACAAGAGCTGACAAGGGGTGAGGCTATGACTGACTTAGCGGTATTGCACCACCATCAACCATGCGCTCTGGTACTGTCATAAAGTTAGCACTATTTCCACACTGATTATTTACAACTTATTAGCACTACGCGTAATATAATGAACAATACAAAGTATACACCCAGGAAAAGAATATATTAGCGTACCAGTATACCCGCTAGCTGGCTGTAGGAGGTGCCGAGGACCCTTATCTTGTCCGGATGAAGAGGAGAATGGCGCACGTACACCCCAAGAGCCTGGCGGAAGCCGGCCGGCAGAGTGGCAGTGCGCGTGCGCCAACTCTCGTCACATTGTTTACATACGTTCAATTAATAATAATTCATTTTGTCGGGGACAGGGAGCCTGTGTACGTATATACGTTAGGCTTATATCGAGGTCTACCCACAATTAAGGTCCATCTACTAATTCTATTGGTCCCAGGATGCAACCCCCACAACAGTTGCTTAACTTCAGGGTACCTATTTACTGCTAGGTGAAAAGTGGCATTAGGTGACAGGAAACGTGACAAACTATTTCTGTCTCACACAGGATTCGAACCCGGGATTCGTGATTGTGAGTCGACAATGAACCCGACGGTACTACAGAGACCCTGAATATAAATCCTGAGCCGGGATAAAATTATGACGTCATAGTGACGTCACACTGTGTGCCTTTAACTAAATCAGCATAAAATCTGTTTCATTAAGTTGTGACGATGTGCACTGAACTTTGTAACTAGCTCATCAAGATTGTAACTTGCTTAGCTAAATGAATTGTGGGGTTCTTCCACTACCACCCACAAGATGGGTATGGGGTGCATAATAAATGAACTAAGTTAGAATTACCACCAATATTCTTATTATTATTATTATTATTTTGTACTAACAAGCATATGTAGTTAAACCAGCGGTTTACGGTTAAATTAACTTAGCTGTATCTAAGCCAAGTTAATTAGAGCTTCAGTCAGTATTATGTTCTACATAATACTGACTTCAAATCTCATCCTATATCAGTTTTGTTCATTTACTGTGGACTCCCATCCTGTGAGTGGTAGTGGACCCCATACCCATCCTGTGAGTGGTAGTGGACCCCATACCCATCCTGTGAGTGGTAGTGGACCCCATACCCATCCTGTGAGTGGTAGTGGACCCCATACCCATCCTGTGGGTGGTAGTGGGCCCCATACCCATCCTGTGAGCGGTAGTGGACCCCATACCCATCCTGTGAGTGGTAGTGGACCCCATACCCATCCTGTGAGTGGTAGTGGACCCCATACCCATCCTGTGAGTGGTAGTGGACCCCATACCCATCCTGTGGGTGGTAGTGGGCCCCATACCCATCCTGTGGGTGGTAGTGGACCCCATACCCATCCTGTGAGTGGTAGTGGACCCCATACCCATCCTGTGGGTGGTAGTGGGCCCCATACCCATCCTGTGGGTGGTAGTGGACCCCATACCCATCCTGTGAGTGGTAGTGGACCCCATACCCATCCTGTGGGTGGTAGTGGGCCCCATACCCATCCTGTGAGTGGTAGTGGGGCCCCATACCCATCCTGTGGGTGGTAGTGGACCCCATACCCATCCTGTGAGTGGTAGTGGACCCCATACCCATCCTGTGAGTGGTAGTGGACCCCATACCCATCCTGTGAGTGGTAGTGGACCCCATACCCATCCTGTGGGTGGTAGTGGGCCCCATACCCATCCTGTGAGTGGTAGTGGGGCCCCATACCCATCCTGTGGGTGGTAGTGGACCCCATACCCATCCTGTGAGTGGTAGTGGACCCCATACCCATCCTGTGAGTGGTAGTGGACCCCATACCCATCCTGTGAGTGGTAGTGGACCCCATACCCATCCTGTGGGTGGTAGTGGGCCCCATACCCATCCTGTGAGTGGTAGTGGGGCCCCATACCCATCCTGTGGGTGGTAGTGGACCCCATACCCATCCTGTGAGTGGTAGTGGACCCCATACCCATCCTGTGAGTGATAGTGGACTCCATACCCATCCTGTGGGTGGTAGTGGACTCCATACCCATCCTGTGGGTGGTAGTGGACCCCATACCCATCCTGTGAGTGGTAGTGGGGCCCCATACCCATCCTGTGAGTGGTAGTGGACTCCATACCCATCCTGTGGGTGGTAGTGGACCCCATACCCATCCTGTGGGTGGTAGTGGGCCCCATACCCATCCTGTGAGTGGTAGTGGGCCCCATACCCATCCTGTGAGTGGTAGTGGGGCCCCATACCCATCCTGTGGGTGGTAGTTATCCCCCATACCCATCCTGTGAGTTTAGTGGACTCCATACCCATCCTGTGAGTGGTAGTGGGGCCCCATACCCATCCTGTGGGTGGTAGTGGACCCCATACTCATCCTGTGGGTGGTAGTGGACCCCATACCCATCCTGTGAGTGGTAGTGGACCCCATACCCATTCTGTGAGTGGTAGTGGATCCCATACCCATCCTGTGGGTGGTAGTGGGCCCCATGCGCATCCTGTGGATGGTAGTGGGCCCCATACCCATCCTGTGAGTGGTAGTGGGCCCCATACACATCCTGTGGGTGGTAGTGGGGCCCATACCCATCCTGTGAGTGGTAATGGGCCCCATACCCATCCTGTGGGTGGTAGTGGACCCCATATCCATCCTGTGAGTGGTAGTGGACCCCATACCCATCCTGTGAGTGGTAGTGGGCCCCATACCCATCCTGTGAGTGGTAATGGGCCCCATACCCATCCTGTGAGTGGTAGTGGACTCCATACCCATCCTGTGAGTGGTAGTGGACCCCATACCCATCCTGTGAGTGGTAGTGGACCCCATACCCATCCTGTGGGTGGTAGTGGACCCCATACCCATCCTGTGAGTGGTAGTGGACCCCATACCCATCCTGTGAGTGGTAGTGGACCCCATACCCATCCTGTGGGTGGTAGTGGACCCCATACCCATCCTGTGAGTGGTAGTGGACCCCATACCCATCCTGTGAGTGGTAGTGGACCCCATACCCATCCTATGAGTGGTAGTGGACCCCATATCCATCCTGTGAGTGGTAGTGGACCCCATACCCATCCTGTGAGTGGTAGTGGACTCCATACCCATCCTGTAAGTGGTAGTGGACTCCATACCCATCCTGTGAGTGGTAGTGGGCCCCATACCCATCCTGTGAGTGGTAATGGGCCCCATACCCATCCTGTGAGTGGTAGTGGACTCCATACCCATCCTGTGAGTGGTAATGGGCCCCATATCCATCCTGTGAGTGGTAGTGTACCCCATACCCATCCTGTGAGTGGTAGTGGACTCCATACCCATCCTGTGAGTGGTAGTGGACTCCATACCCATCCTGTGAGTGGTAATGGGCCCCATACCCATCCTGTGGGTGGTAGTGGACCCCATATCCATCCTGTGAGTGGTAGTGGACCCCATACCCATCCTGTGAGTGGTAGTGGACCCCATACCCATCCTGTGAGTGGTAGTGGACCCCATACCCATCCTGTGAGTGGTAATGGACCCCATACCCATCCTGTGAGCGGTAGTGGGCCCCATACACATCCTGTGAGTGGTAGTGGGCCCCATACCCATCCTGTGAGTGGTAGTGGACCCCATACCCATCCTGTGAGTGGTAGTGGGCCCCATACCCATCCTGTGAGTGGTAGTGGACCCCATACCCATCCTGTGAGTGGTAATGGACCCCATACTCATCCTGTGAGTGGTAGTGGACCCCATACCCATCCTGTGAGTGGTAGTGGACCCCATACCCATCCTGTGAGTGGTAATGGACCCCATACCCATCCTGTGAGTGGTAATGGACCCCATACCCATCCTGTGGGTGGTAGTGGACCCCATACCCATCCTGTGAGTGGTGGTGGCCCCCATACCCATCCTGTGGGTGGTGGTGGCCCCCATACCCATCCTGTGGGTGGTGGTGGGCCCCATACCCATCCTGTGGGTGGTGGTGGCCCCCATACCCATCCTGTGAGTGGTAGTGGACCCCATACCCATCCTGTGAGTGGTAGTGAACCCCATACCCATCCTGTGGGTGGTAGTGGACCCCATACCCATCCTGTGAGTGGTGGTGGCCCCCATACCCATCCTGTGGGTGGTGGTGGCCCCCATACCCATCCTGTGGGTGGTAGTGGGCCCCATACCCATCCTGTGGGTGGTGGTGGCCCCCATACCCATCCTGTGAGTGGTATATCTTTGGTATGAGTGGTATTAATATTCCATTAATCTTTGCCTCTTGCTGTATGTGGCCCTGTTGCATCCTCCCGGTAAGATTATCCTGCTGAGTCTGTATAGACCTTTGAGACCCAGGTCCCGTCCGTCGTCGATGTCTCTGTCTCTGTCTCTGCGCAGTTTTCCGTTTGTGTCTCCTGGTCATTGCTACCTGAAAAGGCCTGGAATCGCCTTATCCGTCATCCATCAGTCACTGGATCACAACTTTCTAGAGCGATCCAAGACGCACTCTTCCTCGACCACGGCTGATTGATTGATTGATTACGATTAAGCAACCCAAAAGGTGGCACGGGCATGAATACCCCGTAAGTAGTGGCCCTTTTGAGCCATCACCAGTATCAATAGATGATACTGGAGATCTGTGGAGGTGCGACTGTACCCTGCGTGACCGGAGATGTCTCCCGTGGACCACGGCTGTGATAGAACCGTGTATATACCCATGGAACCGCCTACTCGCCAGAGCCGTTGATGCGAAAACACTTGAATTTCAAAATCCAGCTGGACAGAATCGTCAGGACAAATGGAGGAAACCTTTTAGAAGCCGCCGGCTTCCTGTCCTCATTTTTTGTATATATACAAGAGTTCAAAATTCCAAATTCAAATTCATTACAAGTTCTAATTACTAATTCAAGTTCTAACATTCTTGTAAAGCCGCAAACACACATAGCGTTTCGGGGAGGTCCTTAGTCCTAATTTTCCCCGGAATACGACTCGCCAAATCGTTTACCAACCCATTTACTGCTGGGTGAACAGAGTCTACAGTTAAGGATTGACGCCCAGTCAATCCTCCCAACCCGTCCTCGGCCAGGATAGGAACCCAGGCCAAAGCGCTCGCGAAACGCCGAGCGATTCGATTCCCGGGTGGGACAGAAATTGTTTGACACGTTTCCGTTCAACTAACGTACCTGTTCACCTAGCAGTAATTAGGTACCCGGGAGTTAATTAAGCAACTGTTTGGGGGTTCATCTCGGGGAGAGTCAGTGGTTCGACCTTGGGAAGACCTCGATACAAGCATAAACTATATATACACACACATACACAGGCTCCCTGTCCCCGACAACGGAAATTATGTATAGCCTGCATACATCCCCATTTGGAATTAACTTTAAAGCCAGATTCGACAACAAATCGAACGAGATGAAAGTTAAATGTAACGCATTTACGCAAAAGTAACGCAATAGGAACAACAAGGTTATGTTAGACGAGGCATGGAGAGCTAGCCACTTGCCTAGCCACTTAGATCAGTTAATACGAGCTAGCCACTTAAATCAGTTAATACGAGCTAGCCACTTAAATCTATGACCACAAGAGGTCATAGATTTAAACTAGCTAAACACAGATGCCGAAGAAATATAAGAAAATTCACTTTCGCAAACAGAGTGGTAGACGGTTGGAACAAGTTAGGTGAGAAGGTGGTGGAGGCCAAGACCGTCAGTAGTTTCAAAGCGTTATATGACAAAGAGTGCTGGGAAGACGGGACACCACGAACGTAGCTCTCATCCTGTAACTACACTTAGGTAATTACTTGCCCCGCTCCTATGCCAGGTAAGTTTTTTTTTTTTTTTTTTGAGATATATACAAGAGTTGTTACATTCTTGTCAAGTTACGGGTTCACCATATAGCCCGTGCTACTTGGAACTTGTTCCGAGTAGCTGAATCTATAACAAGAGCTAGCCCCTCATTTCCTAGCAGTCACTGATAGTTAGGTACTGTCATGTAAGTACACCGACCCACCAAGAGCTTCCTCATTGGTCATACCTGTAAGTTAAAGTACCTTCCCTAAGAAATTCCCTAAAGTACCTTCCCAATCGACTTGAGAATGGTACAGGACGGACCGAAACGTCGTCGTCCCTTCACCTTCTAGTGTGTAGTCTGGTCAACATACCTTCCCTAAGCTTCGCTAGTACCTTCCGTACTACGGGCTCGCCATAGCCCGTGCTGCTTGGAACGTTTTGTTCCAAGTAGCGAATCTTTAACAATAATTCCTTAAGCCACCCTCAAACAATTTACTCTATTCCGACGCATCAAAACAATATTTCCTTGTCCCACCAACCTAATAGTATATAAATTTGCCGTTTCCACCTTGAGGATAAGTCATTTTCATTCTAAAAATGACTTAAGTTGAAATTGAAATTGAAATAAGTTTATTGAGGTAAAATACACACAAAGGGATGAGGTAGCTCAAGCTATTCTCACCCCGTTCAGTACATCGTGTTAATACATACATAGACACACATCACAAATAAACATATTGACTTAAGTTTGTATAGTAATTATGGAAAGGAATTCCCGTGTGGAGGGAGCGTCGGTGGGGTTGGCAGGCCTGCGCCACCACAACATTGGTGCACTTCCTCTCCAGCCCAGGGTCCAGCTCCGGGAAGTGGCTCCTCTCTGACACTGGCCACGGGTAAGTGCCACCCAGGGAGGCACTACAGGCTTGTGGGGGAGTAGTGGGTGTATGAGGGGGGAGTAGTGGGTGTATGGTGGGGGAGTAGTGGGTGTATGGTGGGGGAGTAGTGGGTGTTGGTGGGGGAACAGTGGGTGTTGGAGGGGGAGTAGTGGGTGTTGGAGGGGGAGTAGTGGGTGTATGGAGGGGGAGTAGTGGGTGTTGGTGGGGGAGTAGTGGGTGTATGAGGGGGGAGTAGTGGGTGTAGGAGGGGGAGTAGTGGGTGTTGGAGGGGGAGTAGTGGGTGTATGAGGGGGGAGTAGTGGGTGTTGGTAGGGTAGTAGTGGGTGTTGGAGGGGGAGTAGTGGGTGTATGGAGGGGGAGTAGTGGGTGTATGAGGGGGGAGTAGTGGGTGTATGGAGGGGGAGTAGTGGGTGTATGGAGGGGGAGTAGTGGGTGTATGGAGGGGGAGTAGTGGGTGTAGGACGGGGGAGTAGTGGGTGTAGGAGGGGAGTAATGGGTGTTGGTGGGGGAGTAGTGGGTGTTGGTGGGGGAGTAGTGGGTGTTGGAGGGGGAGTAGTGGGTGTTGGAGGGGGAGTAGTGGGTGTTGGTGGGGGAGTAGTGGGTGTTGGAGGGGGAGTAGTGGGTGTTGGTGGGGGAACAGTGGGTGTTGGTGGAGGGAGTAGTGGGTGTTGGAGGGGGAGTAGTGGGTGTTTGTGGGGAATAGTCTCCGTGGTGTAGTGGTAAGACACTCGCCTGGCGTTCCGCGAGCGCTATGTCATGGGTTCGTATCCTGGCCGGGGAGGATTTACTGGGCGCAATTCCTTAACTGTAGCCTCTGTTTAACGCAACAGTAAAATGTGTACTTGGATGAAAAAACGATTCTTCGCGGCAGGGGATCGTATTCCAGGGACCTGCCCGAAACGCTACGCGTACTAGTGGCTCTACAAGAATGTAACAACTCTTGTATATACCTTGAGGTTACCTTGAGGTGCTTCCGGGGCTTAGCGTCCCCGCGGCCCAGTCGTCGACCAGGCCTCCTGGTTGCCGGACTGATCAACCAGGCTGTTGGACGCGGCTGCTCGCAGCCTGACGTACGAGTCACAGCCTGGTTGATCAGGTATCCCTTGGAGGTGCTTATCCAGTTCTCTCTTAAACACTGTGAGGGGTCGGCCAGTTATGCCCTTCAAAAAAAAAAAAAAAAAAAAGAATAGTGGGTGTAGGTGGGGGAGTAGTGAATGATGGCTAAACAGTGGGTGTTGGAGGGGGGAGTAGTGGGTGTTGGTGGGGAAACAGTGGGTGTATGAGGGGGAGTAGTGGATGTTGATGGGGAGGGGGGCGGGGGAACAGTTGATGTACGAGTGGGGGTGTTGGAGAGGGAACATTCGGTGTTGGACAGGGATCAGTGAGTGTAGGAAGTGGTGGTGGTGGAGCAGTGAGTGTTGAAGGGGGAAGCAGTGGGTGTAGCAGAAGGGAGCAGTGGGTGTATGAGGAGGAGCAGTGGGTGTATGAGGAGGAGCAGTGGGTGTATGAGGAGGAGCAGTGGGTGTATGAGGAGGAGCAGTGGGTGTATGAGGAGGAGCAGTAGGTGTATGAGGAGGAGCAGTGGGTGTATGAGGAGCAGCAGTGGGTGTATGAGGAGCAGCAGTGGGTGTATGAGGAGGATCAGTGGGTGTATGAGGAGGAGCAGTGAGTGTATGAGTGTGGTGGAATGAGCAGGTACTAAAGCAGACCTGCAGGTGACCCACTGGGGGACTTGTGTTAAGAGATTGATTATGGATAAAGTTTTACCCACGTTGTCACGATGCTGAGAAGATACAACTTATTTTCATAGTGAGAGGCACACCTAACACACTCATAAGAATATATGTAACAATTATTTTATACATAATCCAAACTTAACATTTTTACCTGCTAAAAGTAGAGGATAAAAACATACCATTGTCATGGACATAATGCTATGAAAGGCATTTCATAGCATTCCTGTCCCCCAACACAATTCATTATTATTTTGAATTATAAATGTCATGTACACATAGAAATTACAATAACATGGTGTATTTTTCTCAACACAATTTATACTTTAATCTAGGTTAGTATTAAGTTTTAGTCTTAGTGTTTTTCCTGCCCGAAACGCTTTGTGTAATAGTGGCTTTAGGCATTGTATGTATTAGCTCTATCTATAAATCCATCAACTTTTGTATTTCACCTTGTATGTATGTACTTTACCTGAATAAATATTTGTATTTGTTGTATTTGTATCAGTGAGAAAATCAGTAGGAACCATTAGGAGGATTCAAACCTATGGGCTGGGCACTCCCAAGCATACACTACACCACAACATGGTAAAAAAACATAGCAACCTAGGATTCAAGTGCATCCTCTAAGATTCCTGAGGCTTCCACAGAAGCCTAATCAGGGATTCACACAATGGGTTTCACACTACTCTTCTCATGGCTCTGTCTGATTTTCTCATAAATGTCATACAATATTTAATTTAACCCAGTCACTGCCACAAAAGGTTATGATACACTTGGCAAGAGTTCAACCTTGACAATGAGTGGATGTCTGGACATCTGCTCTGCCTGGGAACCGTGGGAACACGTAGCCAATTTTTACCCATTGAGCCTCGATTCTGCCTGGGAACCGTGGGAACACGTAACCCATTTTTACCCATTGAGCCTCGATTCTGCCTGGGAACCGTGGGAACACGTAACCAATTTTTACCCATTGAGTCTCGATTCTGCCATCAGGCATTCCATTTCAATGGCCCGGATTGTTGTGATGCCTACCTGTTTGTGATCCTGAAGATCAATGTTCCCGCAGCCTGGTCTCCTGGTTGCTGGGCTGCTCAATCAGTCTGTTTGGTGCAGCTGCTTGCAGCCCAATATGAGTCACAGCCTAGTTAATAAGGTATCCTTAAAGGTGCTTGTCTATTTCTCTTTTTAACACTGTGTAAGGTCGGTCAGTTATGCCCTTATGTGTAGTGGAAGCGTGTTGAACAGTCTTGAGCCTTTTATGTGGATCGAGTTCTCTCTCAGTGTACAGTACCTATTTCGCTTCTGCTTTTCAGTGGGACTGTTTTGCACATCTGCCATGCCTTCTGGTCTCATGTGGTGTTATTTCTGTGTGCAGATTTAGAACCAGTCCTTCTAATATTTTCCAAGTATAAATTATCATGTCTCTCCCACCTGCACTCTACAGAATATTGATTTAAAATTTTTAGGTGGTCGCAATAATTTAAATATTTTATTGAGTGAATTCTAGCATAAAAGGTCTTTGCATAATCTCCAGGTCAGCAATTTCTCCAGCTTTGAATGGGGCTGTTAGTGTGCAACAGTATTCTACTCTAGAGAGCAACAATGTCTTTAAAAATATCATCAGTGTCATGGCATCTCTTGTTTGGAAGAGACTTGTTATCCAACCTGTCATTTATCTTGCAGTTAATAGCAACTTTGTTAGTCTTCTTTAAAAGTAAAGTCTTCTGATTTATTTATTAATTTATTAACATTTGATCGAAGGTTTGCTGTGTCCTCTATATTGCATATTTTCATGACAATTCTAGTGTCATCTGCAAATTATATATTACTGTACTGTAGTTTGTGTCCTTGTCTATGTCCAATCTGAGGATGAGAAAAAGTACTGGAGCAAGCACTTGAGGGATCATCCACCACTTTTGATGGTGGATGGTCCAGATTTTTGCTTTTGCAAAATCTGTGTATATTACATCAGCTTTTTGTTTGTTTTCCTTGGCATCTAAGGCCATATAATGGTCTAGCAATTGTGAGAGGCAGTAGTGCCTTATTCTATATCCATGTGGCCCAGGGCTATGTAGACACTGTGATTCCATGTATTTTGTGATATTGCTTTTGAAGACACTTTCAAAGATTTTTATGATGTGGGATATTGAAGTTCAAGTATGTTTATTAAGATAATAAGATACATCTCAAATGGATAGACTAGCTTAGGCTATTTTTACCCTCCATGTGCGATATTAGAGATATTGGTCTATAATTTTGTATATCCGTCTTACTACCTCCTTTGTGTAGTGGTGCAATCTCTACTGTTTTAAGTACTGTATGTCGGGGATAACAACAGTATCTAACCTTCGTCTCTAAAAGATGTTTAGGACTTGTAATAGTTTTTTTTTTTTTTTAATTCTTGATGAATATAGAATTTCAGGAGCCTGGGCCTCGTGCAGAGTGCATGGGAATGCTGTCTATGGCTACTTCAAAGTTGAGTGGGGCTACTCATCTGATACTGTATATGGTTTGATGGTAGGGTCACATTCATAAAGAATTCGTTTGGATCATTGATCTTCAATTTATTCAGGGGTTTACTGAAAACAGAATCAACATTGTAGCCTAAGGTCTTTCACTCATTTCTTTGTTGCAATCTGTGAAAGTTCCATCACCCTTGTGCAAGGTCCCAATCCAAGATGTAGTTTTGTTCTAGATTTTCCATTAGAGAAAAAGTATTTTTTATTCTTTTCTATTTCACTTGTAACATATACAATTTTGGGTGACACCCTTCAAAAAAGTATGGTGGTTTTAGAAGTTTACTTAACATAGGTTACAGCATTCATATGTTAAAAATGGTATGACGTGTCATGATAGGATGAGATGAGGATGCTTGTTACATGCTGCTGGTGGAGTAAGGTAGGATGTAGTGCTGATGGTGGCCGGAGATGGAGAGCTTAAGCGAGGGCTGGAGCAAAAGGCTTGATCAAGGCTGGGGGGTAGAGAACTCGTAGCAGAGACCTCGAACGAGGGTGGGATCTGAGAACCCAGATAGGGGTGAGAGCGGGTAGCTCAAATGCGCCTGGGAGTGGCTGTCTGGTCTGTAACTGGTCTGTAGCTAGTTTCTACGTGAGAACTGGAACTCATCTCATCATGTGTTATATCATATACCTGGTTGATACCTGGTTGATGGGGTTCTGGGAGTTCTTCTACTCCCCAAGCCCTGCCCGAGGCCAGGCTTGACTTGTGAGAGTTTGGTCCACTAGGCTGTTGCTTGGAGCGGCCCGCAGGCCCACATACCCACCACAGCCCGGTTGGTCCGGCACTCCTTGGAGGAATAAATCTAGTTTCCTCTTGAAGATGTCCACAATTGTTCCGGCATATGTTGATGAATATTAGTCCTGTTGGTGAAGATCCATGGCATATGCAGAGCATCTCTCGCAGAGTCACTAGTGGAGTTAGACTGATGATGCTGATTGATGGATTAAGATTAAGCCACCCAAGAAGTGGCACAGGCATGAGTAGCCCGTAAGTGATGATGCTACATTCCTGATCAGCTTATATCAACTCTTCATCTGACCTTGGGTTGGACACAGTTTGCTTCCTTATCTGGCAAGTTGATCATCATTTGGCCTAATGGGGAAACTCGCTAGTTACTTTTGGCATTCTTAAGTGAATTGTGAAAACATGTCAGTGATTATGGTGATAAGTAGCTGGCTTATTAGAAATAATTAATGTGGTATACTACACACTTGCAGCATTTTGCTCTCTTTGCCTTTACAACATTTTACATGATTCTTGCAACGTTATTTAGATCTTTTCTATTCCTCTACATAGCCTTCCTTGTCATTCTTGGGATAGAGTGGGGGATTTGAGATGGCCTGTGATTGGCCTGCCTTGCCTATAGAGGAAATGCTTTTCTCATTCCAGTTTGCATCTTTTTCTTTTTCTCATTAGTGGTATGTGACTTGCACACACAGTACTGTATTTCTAGTGCTACTGTGCCTATTTTCTCAAACCACTGGTTTAAGTTTGCATTATCTAGCTGTCTTTCCCAGCATGTTTTTGAGAGGTCTTGGTTTATTTATATTTATATATACAAGAGTTCTTACATTTTTTTACAGCCACTAGCACGCGTAGTATTTTGGGCACGTCCTTAATCATATGTTTCCGGAATACGACCCCCGGCCAAGTCGTTTAACAACCAGGTACCCATTTTACTCTTTGGTAAACAGTGAGTACAATTAAGGATTAACACCCAGTAAATTCTCCCCGGCCAGGATAAGAGCCCAGTACAAGGTGCTCCCGAAATGCCAGGCGACTGTCTTAACCACTACACCACGGGAACTGCTATTTATGATGTGGGATATTCAAGTTCGAGTACGTTTATTGAGACAATAAGATACATCTCAAAAAAATAGAGTAGCCGGTTGATACTGTGTTGAGTGGGGCCTATACCAGTTGATACCAGCCACTGGGATATTTGTTCCAGGTTGATTCGTTTGTTATTAAAATTTAATCTGCTGAATTCTCCTCCTCTTGGATTTGAGACTGGCTGATCAGGTCTATTGCACATGTGTATCTGTACTTCAATTAGGTTGTGATCTAAGTAACAAGTACAGTTTGTAATCATCGTCTCTAAGCAGTTCATCATTGTTTGTAAAAAAAATAAGATCTAGGGTGTTTTCTAGTTGGTTCTACTATTTGCTGGTTTAAGGCAAATCCATCACACATCTGCAATTGTTCATCTGTGTGAAACTGTTTGTGTAAACTACTTGCTGGGGTTCTTTCTGGTATAACTGTATTTACCCCATTTGTCCATTGTCCTCTCCAATCATGCAAAGTTTGGTCCAGTTATGTTCAACAAGGTTAAAATGCATACCAAACAAACACACTTAAATTTATTTACACGAGTAAAAATATATTTGCATCTCCTAGTGTCACTAGCTGATTAAGATTGTATATTTTTTTTTTTTTTTTTTTTTTGAGATATATACAAGAGTTATTACATTCTTGTACAGCCACTAGTACGCGTAGCGTTTCGGGCAAGTCCTTAATCCTACGGTCCCTGGAATACGATCCCCTGCCGCAAAGAATCGTTTTTTCATCCAAGTACACATTTTACTGTTGCGTTAAACAGAGGCTACAGTTAAGGAATTGCGCCCAGTAAATCCTCCCCGGCCAGGATACGAACCCATGACATAGCGCTCGCGGAACGCCAGGCGAGTGTCTTACCACTACACCACGGAGACTGCAAATATAACTTGCTTAGCTAAAAGAATTTTAGGCTGAAGGTCATAAGCCTATTATGTGCCTCTGTAACCTTTTTCACTACCACCCACAGGATAGGTATGGGATGCATAATAAACTAAACTAACTTATTAGTGCACCAAATAAAGACATATTTTCATTTTTATCAAACAAAAAAGTTTCCTTTTAGTTGCATCAGCTAAATATATAAAAGTCACTCAGATGTTTAACCTCGTTTAAACAAAAACAACAATTTTGTTTGTTTCAGCGGCATTATCAAAATTGCAGTTTGTAAAAACTGGATTGGACATCTACCTAGAAATCTGACCACGTTATTTTGAAACTAATCCCCAGCAGTGAATTAGGAGACATGAAGCATGGAAGCAAGAGTAATCAATGTCACTAAAAGTAAATGTGTGGTAAGTAAGAGATACACAGAGACACGGTGGCGTGCGTATGTGCAGTCACTTGTCTTGCTGCTTGATCGACTAGTTAAATATGCCGGTGTTTGTATTGTGTTATGATTGATCAAATGGATATGATAGAGTGTGTGTGTCATGTTCTTGATGTATCAACTGGATGTACAATATAGTTGAGAGTGAATTGTCTTCCATGTTAACACTATTGTGGTCGGGAAGCAGTGGGTAGACGGAGCATCGAATGTGAATGTTTATCATTTTATATTTTTGAGTTTATTTACAATATTTCAGCATTTTTGTTGAAATAATAATTGGCTGGTTTGCAGCTCGGCCTTTCTTGAATGTTGTGTAAATGTTTTACTCTGAAAACTTGTTAATTGCTGTACAGGGTATGTATTTTTCTTTTACATATATAATACAGTACAGTACCTGTAAATACAGTGCTTCCTCAAATATAATGACTTCTATATAACAATGGATTAAATCCACCCACTGGCTTTTCTCTCTGAAATAATGGATTTCTTGAGAAATTTTTTTTATTAAAAAGGGGGGGGGGGATGCAGTGAAACCTAGATGATTGGGTCTATCATATAAAGTAATTTCCATCAAATCATAGATATGGTTTCCTTTTTTGCCACATCTATAATATAGATAGTGCTGTATTTTATTAAGCTTGTACTGTGCTATAAATTGTACAAATGAGTTTGTGACAGTTTTCCTGAGACATCTAGATGTTTTACAGACCGTAAGTCACAATAACATGGCTGAAAATTAGACACCCAACCCCCCACTCATCTGAAAATAAAAGACAGCAATGTTTTGGTCAGTCCTGTATTGGTATCAAGTCAGGTAATCTAGACCTACTGTAAGGGTGCGTCTATTGGCGGCGTGTATTCCTTGTGCGAGCGAGGACTGATCTCCCGTTCTCGAGCATTTTGACTGACTTTTCTTCTGATACATCATTATTTGCAAGTTTGAGACATGTGCAAAAAAAAAAAAAAAAGTATTCTTGGTACATCAGGGAAGGGGTAAAGGGACTATACTCGTGGCTAGTAAGGCAAGCAGCTGACAGAGGAGTATGGCATTGGTACTAGTGCTGTTTCTGGCATTGAAAAACCAAGGAATTTGATCACATATGCAGACAATGAGTCACAATAACGTGCCTGAAGATATGATGACCAAACCCCACACCAGAAGATGAAGAAAGGACAACGTTCCGGTCCGTCCTGGACCATTATAAAGTCGTATGTGATAATACTCCAGGACGGACCAAAACATCGTCGTTTCTTCATCTTCTGGTGTGTGGTTTGATCATTATTTGATCACATAGTTTGTGAATAAAATGGAGAGCAGACGAGAAAAGAAATGTCGTAGAAATATTTAAATTTAAGCACGAAGATTTGGATGATGTGGTTTACCAATGAGTCACGCCTTTATCAATGAGGGGGCCTGACAGCTGAGTGGACAGCGCTTCAGATTCGTAGTCCTGAGGTTCCAGGCTCGATCCCCGATGGAGGCAGAAACAAATGGGCAGAGTTTCTTTCACATTGATGTCCCTGTTACCTAGCAGCAAATAGGTACCTGGGTGTTAGACAGCTGCTACAGGCTGCTTCCTGGGGATGTGTAACAAAAAGAGGCCTGGTCGAGGACCAGTCCGCAGGGACGCTAAGCCCTGAAATCATCTCAAGATAACCTCAAGAAATGCTTTATTGCAGCCTGGGGTTGGCTGGGCATGGCTGTTGGTGGTGCACAGTTAATGTATGTAGCTGAAGAATGGCATTAACCAAGGGTATTGAGGACCTCAAGGCCAGTTCTTAAGGTGACTTAAGAAGTTTAACAGACAGCATGACAGTACTGTAACCACAATTTGCTGCCACTGGGTTATCAACACCAGCCTCTCCTACAAAAAGTTAAATGAGCAAATAGAATAATTTTTTTTAATTATTTATCGGGACACTCATTATTTGTAATTTGTGTCTGAATATGCTGAAACATGTATATCATTTCTTATCAGAACAAATATAAAAAAATGGTAATAAGTAGCCAAAAAATACAATTTTTTTTAATATATAAATCAGGCCAAACCCAGATTGGGTCTGGAACACTGTGATTTCGATTTTTGAGGGAGCTCTGTACAGTACAGTGTTTGCAAATGATTGCTTTGTTGTGTGTATGATAAATACTCTCCAGAAGAATCCATCTTACACCCGAGGTAAATTGGGAATTAAGTAGATCCCCGAATATGATTGTTTAGGTACATTTTAAATATTTACAGCTATTGTTATTCATTTTCTGGAAAGGGCTTACCTTGAGGTGCTTCCGGGGCTTAGCGTCCCTGCGGCCCGGTCGTCGACCAGGCCTCCTAAATTGAGAGGGCTCCCTTAATAATTCCCCGAGCTTAAGCACTGGTACTGCCAAATTGGAGGAAATCACTCCAGGCCTCTGACCCACTCATGCCTACCAGAGGGCAGAATCAGAATCTGACTCTCTGTGAGGCAAGGAGAGCTTGGAGATCAGAGATCAATCCAACACACAACAATCCCACCAAAAAAGAATTCGTGTAACAAAAGATATGAGAGCTTGAAGAAAATTAGAAAACCTGAGGTAAATAAGGCAAGTGATCGTTGTTGTTAGGATAAAGACTAATGATGATGCACTCGACCACCACCAGATGGAGGCCCAGGTCACTCAGGGTCTTGGCTAGCCTTCCAGCCACCTCATTCACCTGGTCATTGTTGAACACACACCTGTGACTTGGTCCATGCTCTGCTTCATGCTTGCAGATAAGTGCTGGTTTTTCCTGGAATTATTGATTCAACAACGGTTATTGCTTTGTTATTGTTTCCTTTTTATTTCAGGGTTGATTTTTATGCTGTCAGCATTGTATTTCACTCTGTAGGCCAGGATTATCTTCCCTCGTAGCTGACTTCCATTTCCCCACCCAGGATACATACTGTGTGAGGTTTGACATCTCTTCAGTCACCTCCCTTCTGGGAATTGTTCTTCATTATAAGGTCTATTGATGGGGAGTGTAGTACAGACAGCAGCATTTTCTGAGGGTGTGTTTGGGTTGTGCAAGTAATTGTACCTGTGGCATTATACTCTTGCTGGATGCTCATGTTTGGGGCTTGGTGGTTGCTTATCCGCGACACTTCCCTAGTACTGTACCTGGTATTCCTGCCTGTATGAGTGTCGGTCTGGGTAGCTGATGTTCCTCAATTATTTTTTTTACACTTGCCATTTTAAATTTTTCTGAATGTGATTCATTGTTTTTTAATGTCAATGGGCCTTCCTGTTGCCTTCATCATTCAACCTGTTGAATGATGAAATTTTTCACCCCTGGTTATGTGTCATATGTCAGTGCTAGACTTCTATTATTGACTGAACCACCAGCTTTGGCAGCAGCTTATCAGGCTATGGCTGCTTTGCGAGTCTGTGCAGCACCTGTCTGCAGCAAATGGCAGTACTTAATAAGCATCGTATCTAGGAAAATTGTGCAACATTTGTGTTGGCTTCCCCTATCACTTCTGCTTCATCTCTAGTAGCTGGTCTGCTGGGCTTCTCAGCCTCTGCCTTTAGTTTGGGGCCTTGACTATCAGTGGCCTGAGAACTTGTAGGCACCGAGAGGTATGGAGCTGGTAGAGGAAGCTTCAAGCGTTGCCCTCCTCTTGGTATTTGCTTCTTTTGTATGAATTTGATGAACTTTCATATTTCTATAATGATATTGAAATGTAATATTTACATTTAGAATAGTGAGCCAACATTAATAAATATTGTCTGAAATTAAAGCCTCACACACCACAAGGGAGGTTAAGCTCTGTCCACGTATGGTTCCCAGCTGGCTAACATATGATTTATGCAATTTAACACACATGATGTACTGATGTAAATGTTACTGTATTTTTCTCAAATTTTAACAGGGATATATTCGTAGGTAGGTCTTCTGTTGAGTTTGCATTGGCATTTTTCATTATAGGTGGTGTGCATGCGTATTAAAGACAAGATGAGTTCGTGCGTGTGTGTGAATGGCAGGATGTGTACATCTGTAATTACCTAAGTGTAGTTACCTAAGTGTAGTTACAGGATAAGAGCTATGCTTGTGGTGTCCCGTCTTCCCAGTACTCTGTCATATAACGCTTTGAAACTATTGACGGTTTTGGTTTCCACCACCTTCTCACTTAACCTGTTCCAGCTATCTACCAATCTGTTTGCAAAAGGCACTTTTCTAATTATTTTTCAGCAACATTGTTTCCTATGTCCTCTTGGTCTTGAAGTTGGTTTTCATAAATTCTTCTTTCAGTTTTGACAATTCCTGTTACTATTTTGTACATAGTGATCATATTAGTTCTTCCATCTTCTAGCTTTGGTATATTTAACCCCTTTAACCTTTCCTTGTAGCTCTTCTTTTTCAGTTCTGAAATCCATTTAGTTGCATGTCGTTGCACCTTTTCATGTTTAATGATATGCTTCTTGAGATATGAGCACCATACATCTGCTGCATGTTCCAACTTTGATCTCACAAAGGTCGTGAACAACTTCTTTAATATTTCATTATCCATGTATTTAAAAGCGATTCGAAGGTTGGAGAGCGTAGTATACACTCTTCACACAATGTTCTTTATGTGATCTTCGGGGAATAGTTTTTTTTAATCTAGAACCACTCCCAGCTCTCTTTCCTTATCAGAATTCTGTAAAGCTTTTTCACATGATTTGTAGATTGTGTGTTGCCTATTTTCTCCTATTCCACATTCCCTAATGTTGCATCTATTCACATTAAATTCCATTTGCCAAGTGTTGCTCCATACACTTTTTCTCCAGGACTTCTTGAAGAGCATGATCTTATCTTGAGGTTATCTTGAGATGATTTCGGGGCTTTTAGTGTCCCCGCGGCCCGGTCCTCGACCAGGCCTCCACCCCCAGGAAGCAGCCCGTGACAGCTGACTAACTCCCAGGTACCTATTTACTGCTAGGTAACAGGGGCATTCAGGGTGAAAGAAACTTTGCCCAATTGTTTCTGCCTCGTGCGGGAATCGAACCCGCGCCACAGAATTACGAATCCTGCGCGCTATCCACCAGGCTACGAGGCCCTCCCAGGCTACGAGGCCCTCAGATAGTTATCTGAGGATGATAGTTATCTTAGTTTCTTATCTTTCCTAGTAGCTTGGCATCATCAGCAAAACATGTTCATGTAGTTCTGTATTCCTTCTGGTAGATCATTCATAAAGGCAATGAACATTACTGATGTTGGAACTGAACCTTGTGGTTCTCCAGTCTGATAAATTGTCTCTGATTATTGCCTTAATTTTCTGTCGGGAAACTTATCATCCATGTCAAAAGTCTCCATCGCTCCTCCAGCTAGCTCCAGTTTCCAGAACAAACAACCTCTTATACGGGACTCTGTCGACAGTTTTTTTTTTTTAGGTCCAGATAAATGTAGTCAACCCAACCATCTAAATAGAGTACTGTACTGAGCTCAAATGTATATTCTTTCAGAACCCAAAATGAAACTTCATCTGGGCTTTGTTCCTATTTAGCTCCTTGAGCATTTTTTTCCCACTTCATCTCGAAACACCTTTTTGTATTTTGTTATTGTCTGAAGTTCCTATGGTGTCTGGTTCTCTGAAAACTTCACCAGAAAGACAGGATGTGTAAATGTGTGTGAAAGACAGAATGTGCACATGTGTAAGTACCTAAGTATAGTTACAGGATGAGAGCTACACTCATGATGTTTCATCTTCCCAGTACTCTGTCACACAAGGCTTTAAAACTACTGTCATTACTTTCAACTTCTTTCACACATTGTGTGAAAGTCATGATAAGTTCATGTGTGTGTGAAAGGCAGGATTTGTACATGTATGTGAAAGATAAGATTAATGTTATGTAAAAAGTAGGGCAGATGGATTGATATTTGTGCAGCCCATCCTCTCGAGACTTCCCAACGTCACTAAGTGATGTACTAAATTGCCCAAACCTAACAGAGTTACCACGAATAGAAAACAGGACATCACGTCAATTTTGGGAGCGATTTTGATTTGTAGTACATAAGTTTTTGGCCTTAGGGGATTTATATATTATAATATTATGTACTATTCGAGAGGATGGGTTGGTGTATATGAAAGTGGCATAGGAAGTTTCAGACTAGAAATTCTGGACTAAATGATTAACATGAATAAATTCTGGACTAAACATTATCTCATTTGAGCTTTGTCACAAGTGCCTATCAGAAACGTCTACCCAGTGGGCATCATTGGTCGCTTTCAATCAACGGTGCCCACTGGGTATAGTTCATTATCTGTGTACGAAGTATTCTTCTGTCTTACATGCCTTGTTTATTGTGCAAGCTTTCATTGGCTGAGTCATGGATTTGTTTTACCATCATGCAAAATTGGTTATGTTTAATATGTTCTTGTTGGAGTGTAGAAGGAAGTTACAAAATTGGTTATGTTTAATATGTTCTTGTTGGAGTGTAGAAGGAAGTTACAAATTTGACAGTTACAATATTCTTGGATGTGACTATATACCTGCATTTATAAATGCACAAAATCTTGTTTATGATTAGCATAAAATAAGGCTTATGTTCTTACACTTCTAGTGTGCTTGACTTTTACCTATGCATATTTTCTAATTATTTTTCACATGTATAATATGTACATATACAGTACAGTAATTTTATTATCTTTATATACAAAATATTTAATTTTGATATATTGTATTTTAATTAAAGATAGAGTAGAACTTTTAAGATTCCTTATATGCTATTTATATTAAATGTAAAACAGTGAGTTGCTAATAGAGTAATGTATAATGTTTATCAACAGCGGTCCAAATGGCAACAGCAACGAAGGCGACCAATGGGGCCGTGATACATTCTGACGCCCGATTTGCATCTCTGAATTCTATGACTGATCCTCTTCACTTGTGGCCAGGAGTATGTTTTAACTTTGTTTCACATACAGTGGATGAATGATACTTTCCCCTGTAGTACAATATTTACATTTGATAATTAGTATGTCTTATAGTCCTTGTTTTATGCATTGTATACTTTAATATTGTACAGTACTGTACAGTGCAATTTATCATAGACACGTACATTGCTAATTTTTATATCTGACATTTAATTTTTGCATTTCTGCTTTATTTCTACTTTATTAGAATTTTCATTGACATTTTTAGCCTACAAAGTGCATTTTTACACTTGTACTAACGCCATAACTGCGGCAGGTCGAAAGCCGCGTGGAACCGTATGAAGTGGTAGAACTATACTATGGAAGCAGTACAGCATCCCCAGCTACGCATGCATCTCAACTTTCCCCCAGATCAGCAGGAACCTCTTCTCCGGAGGTCATGCAGGTAGTGGAACTTGTGTGTTTTCTTTTGTGGTCTTAAAGTAGTGTTAGCAATTTCTGGGGGGCGTCCCGTGTCACTCACTGAAGTATTTATCTTGAAACTAGTGAGAGCTCATTCGCCCCACCTCCCTACTCGTTTGTGTGGAGGGGTGGGGAAGTGGCTCACCGCCTTCCAGGGTCTGAGATGTCCGTACCTTCGCTGATGTAGTGGTTCCTTGGGTTACCTTTCTTCCATGTAGGCTTACATGTAAAGTTGGTTCAGCCAAGGCTTGGTTGATTCAGCCAAGTGGTGTGATGTTTGCCCTTGGTGGCTTTTCCTGTACCCTGTGGTGTAGCACAAGCCTGGCTTAGAGCTGCATGTGCTCAGGGTCACCTTCCCTCCTGTGCTCTACTGGTCAACTGTAAAACCCTGGTTGGGCTCCAGTTTTGGGCCTCCAGAACCTCCCAGTGAATTCAGTAAAGTTCCAAGTTGGTCTACTTTCGTACAATCGTGGCCGAGTCGGTTAGGGCAGGTGTCTGGGATTCACCAGAACATGAGTTTGAGTCACTCCATTGCCTAAAAATGATTTTCATTGATAAACAGTATCACGCCATTGTGATTTCTTTCTTTACATGTGAGAGATTACAAATCACATGGAATCACAATATCTACATAACCCTGGACAACACGGGTTCAGAACAAGGCGCTCCTGCCTCTCACAGCTGCTAGATCACTGTGTCATAGCCTTAGGTGCCATGGAAGACAAGCAAAATGCAGATGTAATATACACAGACTTTGCAAAAGCTTTCAACAAATGTAACCTTGGTGTTATTGCGCACAAAATGCATGTAAAAGGAATTACTGGCAAAGTAGGGAGATGGATCTTCAACTTCCTAATGAACAGAACACTGTGTAATAGTCAACACAGTAAAATCCGGATCATCTACTATGAAAAGGTACCAAGGTACAGTACTGTACTTGCTCTGGTACTTTTTCTCATCCTAATACTGTATCAGACATAAACAAGGATACAAACTACAAGACTGTATCATCATTTGCAGTGACACATGGATTTTCTTGCAACTAGACAATATAGAGGACACGGCAAACCTCCAATCGGATGTAAATCTGGTTCAATGGGCCACAAATGTTTAATATTAAATATATGATGTTTAATGAAAATAAGTTCTATCTCCTGCGCTAGGGAACAATGAAATTTTAAAAACGGAATCAAATCACACTATAGAACGAAAAAGCAATGTAAAGGATCTAGTTTTAAAAAAAAAAAAAAAAAAAAAAAAAAAGACTCGTGTCAGAAGACCTTATACATAACACCATAAAGTAGTTGTCACGACTGCAAGAAAAATGACAAGTTGGATAACAAGGTCCTTCCAAACAAGGGCTGCCATACCAATAATGATACTTTTTAAAACACTGATGCTCTCTAGGGTGGAATATTGTTGCATTCTAACAATATTATTTCTCCGGATCCAACTGTGTCGGAGAAATTGCTGACTTAGAGAGAATGCAAAGATTCTTTACTGCTAGAATTCATCGTAGAAGTTATCTTAATTATTGGGACTGCTTAAATGTTCTAAATCTGTATTCTCTAGAGCGCAGGTGAGAGAGATACATAATAATCTACACTGGAAGATATTAGAGGGACCGGTTCCAAATCTGAACACAGAAATAACATCAAATGAGACCAGTAGGCATGGCAGGATGTACAAAATAACCCCGTTGAAAAGCAGAGGTAATATGAGTATGCTGAGGAAGAACTCGATCAACAAGACTTTTCAATACTCTCCCGCTACACGTTAGGAGCATGACTGGCCGACCCCCTCACAGTGTTCAGGCGAGAACTCGACAAACACCTCCAAAGAATAACACCTGATCAGCCAGGCTGTGATTCAAACATCAGGCTACGAGCAGCCGCATCCAACAGTCTGGTTGACTAGACTACCCACCGGGAGGCCTGGTCGGGGACCGGTCCCCAGGCCCCAGAGCTGCTGTTGATCCCCGGAAGCTACACAAGGTAACCACAAGGTATGTGTGGTTAAGTGATATACAGTATACTGTATATCACAGTATACTGTATATCACAGTATACTGTATATCACAGTATACAGTACATATTACAGAGTTAATTTAGAAGCCTGCTGTGATTTTTAATTTGTGTAAACGTTAATGATTAATTCTAAATATGAAAATATTTTCTTCATGAGAACTATAATAATGAAAAAGAACACAAACCAATGTAGAAGGAAAAAAAGACAAATTAATTTGCAAATAAGGCACACCCAATTCCTCGGTTTTTCACCCAGTTATAAATCTACGGAACTGCCTCCTCTTGGGCTGGACAATAGAGCGACAATCTCGCTTTCTACAGGTCGGTGTTCAATCTCCAACCTTTCAAATGGTTGGGCACCATTCTCAAATCTCAAATCCGTCCCATTCCAAATCCGTATCCTGACTCCTTCCAGGTGCTATATAGACGTAATGGCTTAGCCCTTTTTCCTGATAATTATTTTTCCTTACCCACCAAAGCTGTAAATGCCAGGACATTACTTACTGCAGTTCAAAATCCAGTTTGAAAAAATCCTTAGGAAAAATAGGTGGGGGGGGGGGTAAACAACCCACCGGCTTTTTGTCTCCGTCAAGTCCACTAGATAGACGATAGCCCTCAGGTCAATTTGGTTGTATTTATGATGATATTTCATGTATTAGGAACACTTGTACCACTGTTATAAACACTTGGGAATCATAAAATGAAGATGCAGAAATGTCTTTAATTTAGGTATTCAGCTGTGCTTTTGATTGTCAGAAACTTGGCTAACACCAAACTCCTTTACCAGCCTCAGTCATGATTCCTCTTCTCCAACAGCTCGTTTAGCCTGACACACTTGCAAGAATTCTTCTTTTCTTCTCATAAATAATGGAATATTAAAAGGAAAATGGGTGCAATTCCATGAGTACCAAGAAGTCACGTTGGCTAGCATGGAGAGTGATCACTCAATTGGGACGTGTCCAGTGCCTTAAGCATTGGGCCACCCGTAGACAAAATCTATATACAAGCTGTATTTTATGATTTATAGTATCTGTACAGCAAAATATTAAAAAAATATATATCCAATTTTTTAAATATTTGCTAATTAAACTAAGAATAGTTGAAATTGTGAAAACACTTGATCTGATATTATACAATATTTTCTGAACACTAGAGTCTGGTTTGGTATCTTAGACATCTTCAGCATGTCGTATACGATTAGACATTTTATAGAGAGTAAAATGATAATTTCAGTTTTATTTTTCAGTCTGTGGTATCATAAATAAAATCAGTGCTCCAAAGAGAATCTATTAAAATTCTATGTAGCCAGTTACTTTTTTCAGAAACATTTACCAAATTTGTTACATAAATTATCTTTCCGCAGGTTATAGAACAAACGGTTAAAGAAAAGCTTCATCCAGATTTCTACACCTGTGAAGTATGTGGGCGTAATTTCAAAGAAGCATCGCACTTCACTAAACACAAACGGGGAGCCCTTTGTAGAAAACTGGCCCAACGTATGGCCAAGAAGAATAAGAAGAAGAAGGCCTTAGGAAATCAAGATTCTACAGATAAGAGAAATAAACAAAGAAATCTTCATAAACCATATCAGTGTAATGTGTGCGGTGCTAAGTTCTGTGATAAAGTAAATGTGGAATTGCATCTCGAAAGACAACACAACAGCCGCCAGCAGCTATGGGTTGAAGTTGCAAAGAGTGGGGGTTTCTCATGTGCCGAGTGTGACAGGTGTTTTCAAGACAAAGGAGAGCTGACGGAGCATCAGAGACAGCACATGGCAACGTACCTCCACCACACTGAAAGGCTAAATCATGGAGCAGAAGCTCAGAATACAACTGTAGTGTACTACCATGATCCCCTACAACAGGTCCAGGCTTACGGGCAACAGCCGCAGCAACCTCAACACCTGCCTCCGCCACCTGCACCCCCACCCATGGCCCACATGCATACAAACATGACCACTATTCTTCACACTCCGCAGCTACCCCCGGCATCACTTATTCCTGTGTCACAACCTAACAATTCTCAACCCCCTCTCTCCACACATTCTACTCTGTCAAGTATGCCATCTATAGGAATAGTAGACAGTGTAACAAAAGGTTTAAAGAATAGTAAGACGGATAGATTAGCTGCAAATAGTAAATGGAATATATGTGGAGATTGTGGCCACAAATTTGTGGATCCCATGAATTTAGAGCTTCACATTCAACGGAAACACCCCGATTCGTATATGATAGAAACTATTAATTTAGGTGGTGGAACTATTCTCTATAAAACAAATAATACTCGTTCAGATGTACAGTGCTTGATAACTCAGACTGGTTCTGCTAATTCAGACTTAAAGTTAAACAAAGCAAATCCTCAAACATTTGATTGTATATTGTGTGGTTATAAAGCTACTTCTAAGAACTACATTTTGTACCACCTTCAGAATATTCATAGTACAAGCAATACAGACTTCATTCATGTTTTAGAGACCCTAGAATCTGGAAAGAAGGGAGTTAGAGGAATAAAGGGAAGGAAGGGTAGCCAGGATCCTCTTCTGCGTGAACAGCGACATGTTTGTGACGCATGTGGTGAAGTATTTCTTTCTAAAGCTGAACTCATTCGTCACCGCATCAAAGATAAACAGTACATGTGTGGAGTGTGTTGCCATGCATCATGTAGCCAACAGCAAGTAACGACCCACATGGCAACTCATCACCCACACCATCACCCATCTGTGAGTGGAGGGTTGTCATGTTGGATTTGTGGTTCTATATCAGTGTCGGCTTCGATTTTAGATGAACACCTAGTTACTCATGGTAAAATATCAGCAGTTTGTGTATCATGTGGAGAAGGTGGAGATAGACTAGGAGCACTTCTTCCCCATGTAGGTGTCCACCTGCCTCGACAGTCTACTCGTATACGCCTTACAGTGGACAGACCTGGACAGCCGCCTTCATCACACACACTCGAGGTGGCTGTGGACGGAACCATTCACAGTGGATTGAATGTGAACCGTACATCTCCGGTTTCTGTAGAGGCTGTGCCTACCCGTATTGCTCCAGCTTATGCGTGTAGTGAGTGTGGTGCTTGCCTGGCAGGAGCTGCACAGTTAGAGGCTCATCTACAGTTGCATCAAATTAATTCTGTCGCCACCTCTCAAGCAGCAGTATCATCCTCCAATAATTCTGGGACCTTCACCAGTACCACCGCCACTATGGTACCAGTCACGTCTTCAATGCAATCGGCAATAGGAGCTTCCGTTGATTGTGTTTTCCGAGTTCCTGGGTCATTTGAATTTCGTTGTGAAGAATGTGGATTTTGGCGTGAAGACAGCGAACCCGTTATGCGCCACATACAAGCTGTACATATGTCTGGCAATATGTTACATTCAGTAAAGCTTCAATCTGGTTTGGTACAGATTCATCCCATCCATGTTGTAACTCCTATTAGTTCTCTCTCCTAACAACGAAGCACTAACAATATAAAAGTAAATTAAATAAGTCGGCTGATAAAATCTAGTGGTTTTGAGTCCTGTACATTTTAATAATGCATTGTGAAATTACCAAATGCTTTGAAGCGTGGACACTAAGTGTGTTTATATGCCCCGAATACTATGATCATAGGGACGAGAGGGTTTAATTTCCCCATCTCCAAGGCTGCAGCGTGCAGGTGCCGACAACATGGCTATTGAGCCAAAACAAGGCAGTGTGTGTGTGTGGTATAATCCAAGGCAGCTTAGTATGCATCACAGAGATAATAAAATCACTTTTTTGAATTTCTAAAGTTTATTTTTTATATATACTATCACATATAGCAAAGTATGAGTGAGTTATATATATATATATATAGAGTATAGTGGTTTATTTTGCATTCATCAGAGTTGCATGCCGAGAATGGTGAGCAGAGATACATCAAAACATAGAAACTGGTTTGTTTAGTTAGCTCATTAAATGAACTAAACACATCTGTTACTTGATAAATCTTTATCTTTGATAAAATGTTTTGATTATTCAATGCATTTATATTGAACATACAATGGAATCTTGTATTTGGATCATTTTTCTTGCTGGATTCTAGCAAATTGCACATTTTCTAAGTTGTATTCAGTATTCTAAAATGTGGACATTGGATGCCTTATGCCAGTTAATTCACCGAAAGTAGTGGCTCTTTCATGTTCTTTGTCAGCTTTGGACAATTCAAAGTGCACTTGTTTTGTATCAAATCCAAGGCCCTTGATACATTTTTTCTTGTGTTGGCCTAATTTTGAGTGCTGATGTCACCCCAGTGGCCACAATATCAAAGAGTGGCATTGGTTTGATGTTGAATCAATGTAATTTCAACATTGTTGATGATTTGGTATTTGGCGATGCACAATCGACTTGAGAATGGTCCAGGACGGACCAAAACGTTGTCGTCCCTTCACCTTCTAGTGTGTGGTCTGGTCAACATTGGTGTTGATCTTTGATATTGTGGCCACTGTGTTAGTGTTCCTCCAAGACTGCTAAGTAAATAATATTCCTCTTCAAGGACAGATTAATTAAGTGTTTAGAACATAATACTAGTAAATAGAATACTGCATATAGGGAAGGGATGCAGGCAGAGTCTTTGTGTGCTGTTGGCAGATTTTTTGTTTTCGTCCTGCTTGAATTCAATAAAATAGCGTCGCCATTTTGGGCGAGTTGCAGCCAGACCTGACCCACTGGGTCCGATAGCAATGCCAAATTCAGTAGTGAATCGACATAAACATTGATTTAATGCTGAACCAATGCTACTTTGATGATGTTATCACTAGGTACAAAGTGGTCCAACTGTATTAATCTAAAACTGATGTGACTTACAGAACATATTTAAGCTATAACCTCACCTCTGCTGAGTGTTTCTGGCACAATATGGGTATGGCTATGTTGCAATCACACTTCTATAGCAAAAATTTTAATGTATTTTTTTTTTTGGGGGGGGGGGGGGCAAAAATGTGCAATACAGTATATACCTGTATGTCATTGAGAAGAAAATTTAGGGTCTGTAAACTCGTTTCATATGGAGGGGATAAGATTTGTGGGGAAACCTTTGTGCAACTTCCGAGTTCTCAAATTTTGGCTGATATTTCTCGAGACTACAACACAAGGTGGTTTATTGGATGTTTAGAATTATTTCGTCCATTGAATAATTTTTATATTTGGTCTAGAAGTTAACTAATACATGTTTTACTGGGATTTTAAAGTTCAATATTGGTGGTGTAATCTGCAGCTCCCGCTGGCCAGCACCAACTCGGCAGCTTTACTATACTTATTGGCATATACTGTATTTGCTATTTTTGGCCAATTGCAGTACATGTGTGTAAAACCACAATCTTGAGGTTATCTTGAGACAATTTCGGGGCTTTAGTGTCCCTGCGGCCCGGTCCTCAACCAGGCCTCCACCCCCAGGAAGCAGCCCGTGACAGCTGACTAACACCCAGGTACCTATTTTACTGCTAGGTAACAGGGGCATAGGGTGAAAGAAACAATGCTCATTGTTTCTCGCCAGTGCCTGGGATCGAACCCAGGACTACAGGATCACAAGTCCGGCGTGCTGGCCGACCGGCTCCCGGTCAATGATAAACATCATTTCACATTTTCTTCTGTATATGTTGCACGAATCAACTATATTTTGCAAATTATTGTGCTCAGTTAAGTGAGCAATAATACAATTTGTTAGCCTAATCACCATAACCAAAATTAATTTTAATCACTCTTAATTGTGATAAAAATCTCAGATGTACAACAATTTCAAAGTCAATGTATCTGTACGAGTGTAATGTCATTCCACGAGTACTGTCTTGTAGGTTAGTTTTCTTATCTGTTGCTACTGTTATTTGTTTACTTCAGATATTCTTTGTGGATATTTAATACTGTTGATGTTTTATGATGATGAAGTCATGTTTAGGTTACATATTGTATTTTATTGACATTCTTGTTGCAAATCCTCATTATAGGATTGAGATTTTTGTGGCGTTCACAAATTTCTATTCTGATAGAAGTGTACACATTCAGGTTCATTACTTTTTGTTTTAATACTGTACAAATATTACAGTGGCTAATGTAAATAATATAAAGGTCGTGATTTGCTATCTCTGCCAGTCATATGTTCCTGCAGTTAAGGGTGAAACATATATAGTACATTTAAAAACAAAAATAATCATAAATATAGTTAGCAATTTTGTGATAACTAAGGTAAAGGAAGAAGATGCTTACTGGATATTTGGTGTGGTAGGTAACAAGGGCATTGTATGTAGTAACAGGTTTTAAAATGGGCAACATTTTTTATTAATGCCTATAAAAGCTTTTTAAAGTCTGGTTGTAAAACACCACTGTAATTATACTTTAAGTATCTCCTGTATAGTATTCATACATATATTTATTATATCCCTTTATATGTGCCTTCGGGGTGATATCACATTGTGTATGTTTTGTACCCTGAGGGCATAGGAGAAAAAAAAAATTTGCATTTAATTTTTAACCTTTCCATAATTTAACCTACTGTGAAACCAGCTACATAATTATGTTCTACCATCTTGTGATCAAATGTTAACCAAAAACTGCTTAAATTTTTATCTGGAGCCAAATATTGTGTGATTTCTTGTGTAAAAGCAAGTACTGTATATACAGTATTTATGGGCTAGAACATGAAGTATTTATGGTACTTTAAATTTATTTTATATCATACGATGAGATTATAAGAGTAGAGGATATGGTAACAGGATCCGTGATTGGGGGAAGAAAAGCAGATACTTATCTTTAGTGTTTTCCCACCTCAGACAAAACTGATCTTGGATTGTAGTCTCTAAAGAAAAATTGGCTTTTATGGCTGTGTGGAATAAATTAACAAAAGTATAAATGAAAGTGCCAATCCTAGAATGTGAAAGGCTTTGTGTTGCAGAATGTTCATGAGTTCTTAGACATCATTCAGGATGTCAATATGAGAGAAAGTCCTAGATACAGTATTCACGATGTCAATATGAGAGAGAGAGAGAGAATAAGTGATGTCGAAAGTGTCGCATTCACTCTAGGATTTTATCAAGTTACACACACATGACTAAAAATCAGCAATGTAATGGAACATCAATTTCAGGGCAAGTTACAGTGGCTCCCTGAAGCTATTATATACTGATATGGTACCATCTACAAGATTGCATCAGCCATGGAGTTCTAAAGACCTCCCAGGGCCATAACCTGACCCCTCACAGAGGCGCAGGAAGCAGTGACACTTATTTTCCTCACAAAAGAGGAGGAAGCACCACGGAATTCAAAGAATCGACACCTGGCCGAGAGATATTACCCAAAGCCACACAAGGGGGTCGAGGCCAAGGAACAGGAACACGTTACAAGGCCACCAAAAGCCCCGTGCTCAAATATCCATCATAGGCACAAGGGGAGACCACAGGCTGGCTAGACTTTGGAACACTGCGGATGAGCCGAGAGAAACTAGCCTTGGAACCGCGGGACAAGGAAAGAAGATTAACTCGCATGGCATCCACCAAAGTAGAAATGGGGGCACAAAAGCAGCAGTGGACAGCCCACACTGGACACAGCACACGATGCACCTCAACTGAACCAATCACACATCAGTAACCAAAGGACCTTTCCGGAAGCCAATCAACTCTTTCTTTGCCAGAAAAAGAGGAGCCTGCTACAGTACCAACAAAATGCCCACCAAGTCCAAAAGAAGAAAAAATGGCCACCAGAGGAGATCATAAAACTCCTCAACCTGACAAACAGAAGCATGAGAAACCAAAAACTAACACACAGGAAAAATATTGAATTGAGAGGAAGAAATATGAATTTCTTCTGGACAATAACATGGTCCAGAAACCAGGCTCAGGCAGCATGTGCTCAGGCTAGAGGTGAAACAATGCGTGAAACAGGTTGAAAAATGGAGCCGAGGAAGTATAGACCCCTGAATGTGAACTGCAGCAACTCTGCCAATGCTGCACAATATAAGGTAGCACTATACAGCACAAGAGGCTGATCAGTAAAAAGCCAAGAAAGAAAGGTGAGCACTACACACTCAGAAACCAAACAACAACAATGAAGGGAAAGGAGTGCCACAAAACCCCATACTGTCGCTAAAGAGAATGTAGGTGGAACACCATTAACAGCCACTTGCTCACTGTAAAAATGGCGATAAATATACGTAAAAAAGAACGGAGAAGAAATCCAAACCATCAGTCACTGGGCCGACCTGATAGATGCCGAGCCACAGAAAATGCCCAGGTTCAGACACCAGGCAAGCAGCACCTGAAACCAAGGCTGGACACGACCAGTCCAGCTCAACTGCATTCACCGCGAGGACTTTGCAATTGGGAAATGGAGCTGCATTTAACTAAGGCACCGATTCCAGGCTGACACGAAGAGGTACATAATCAGGCACCTGAACGCCTTGCAAAGACACGAGCAGGAGGCAGCATCGACGATCCACTCCATAGATATGGGAAGGAACTGGGACAGACGTGTCAGCGAGGGTGTTACAGGCCCCAACCCATAGCAGAGGCATCCCTGAAGATGTGGCCCAAGGATGATGGAAGGCGCCAGGAAACCAACCCCTGAATAGCATTAAAAATTAAAAAGGACCAACGAAACCTGCACCTAATGAACGTCACGTGACAAAAGACGGGCTGCTCCAGAGATACCAGGACAACTGCTGAAGCCATATCTTGTCCAGAGGAAAAATGAAGCAGGCAAAGTGCAGGCTCCCACCGCTGAGCAACCAGCACAGTCCGTCCTCCAAAGTCCACTCCAAGCACCCACCAAACCAGCCTGTTTATGAATGAAAAACAATTTAGACAACTGACGACATTCAAATACTTCCGAAACAAGAGCTTCACTGATGAATTTTGCTCGAACCACAATGCTGTAAATGCTTCACCCACGTACTACAAATAATCACCAACAGAACTTAAACACTTAACCTAACCTAACCAGTGCCTAAATATGTACAATATGGTAATATAAAATAATAATAATTTATATTGAGAAAATTACTATTTTTATTGAACAAGTAAAAATTGATGAATGCATCTTTGGGGTTGACCACTAATGGAATGGACTTGATCTGAGAACAGGTTGACCAGCAAGTTTTTCGGGGCAAACACAACACAGACGGCAGTGCTGCTACTGGATGCAAGGCCGCCAGAGGCATGGAGTGCGACTCTGACAATGTGTCCAAAACAAGGCCCAGTCAACTCTGAACCAGGGAGGGAACCAACTGGGACTTTTGCCAGGACACCAGGAAACTGACCCAAGTAAGCTAGTAAAAACCCTGATCCCAGAAACCCACACTAGCCATTCGATGACGTAGGCCAAAACACGATCCCCCAACCAAAGATGAGCCTAACATATGAACACACATGAACCCAGATCAAGACCAAACATGAGAGCCCAAAAGTAGAAAACCTGCCACCTGACCACAAAACATAGCCAATCCCCGAACCCTGAAATGTATGGAGATGTACCAAAACATGCCCCAGAGGTCCAGGAACATTGTCCAAGTATCTGTCCCGAGAACAAGATGGACCAGGGAAAAAATGGTCTCCCAGAAGGATAGGCAAGGAATGAACTGGCCCAGCTGCAAAAGATAGAGGATAAATCAGAGGTCCAGCAAGCCTCATTTTGGGATCAGGAAGAGGTGGATATCCCACAAATGGAACAAAGTCATTCCGACCACACCAGAAGCCATGCACTCAGAGATGACCTAATGCAAGCGACGAGTGAAAGCCCACCCAAAACATCAACCTCCCAAAGAGGGAAGGAACAGACCAACTACACTGTGGGAAATGAGCCAAAAAGTCCAGGAGTCAGAAAACTGGGAAAACCACCCCCTCATTGCCCCCATCAAAGGGGCAAACCACAAAAGGGTTGGCTAAAAGGAAAGCACATGCAACCTGGCATTTGTTTCCACAGACGCTCTACCTTGACCAACAGCAGTCGATTCCTGACTGCCTCTAAAGAAAGCGAGGGAGAGGAGAGCAAGGCCCATGGCAAACCCAAAAATTGGGCCAACGCAGCTAGTCAGCACATGAGTCAGGTGGCAAAAACACGGTCTGAAGCTATACTGTGGACTGCTGAAGTATGGTCTGGTCTGCTTGAAGTATGTGCCTCCGAGGAGGATCTAAAAAGAATGCAGACAGACTATACAGGAGGAAGGAAAAAAAATCACATGCTTAAACAGACACGACTTTTTGCAGCAAAGAAAAATAAATCTAAACAGGGAGATTGAAGAAATAGAGCAGATGCTAAAGTGATCATATCAGTCTGAAGAATTAGAACAGATACAAGAGATAAAGAAAAATCCCAAATATTTTTTTAACTATGTGAAATCAAAATATAAAAACTTCCACTAGTATTGGACCTTCATTTACAACTGAAGATTCGTACACAGAGGATCACAAACAAATTAGTAAAATCCTAAAAGCCCAGTATGAGGCTATGTTTAGCACCCCCCCCCCCCCCCAAATGAAAGTTGAAGATCCAGATAGCTTCTTTATGAATGACATCCAAATATATAACTGATATTAACACAAATGCAGAAGACTTGAAAGAAATTGACAACATGCCCATGCACTCGGCCCCTGGTCCTGACTCGTGGAATTCAATATTCATAAAGCAATGTAAAGTACCAGTAGTGCAAGTGCTCAGTGTAATATGAAGAAAAAGCCTAGATACAGGGTAGATACCAGCAGCACTTTAATCAGTATATATATAGCTCCACTACACATGGGAGGCAGTGGAGCTATATCTATGTATAGTGCAACTGGTCTAGTTTTTGGCTTTGGCAAAAACTATAGACCATTTGTACTAATATCAAATATAATAAGTTTACGAACGAGTGATGAGGAATCAAATCGCCAATTTTATGGAAAATATTGAACTTCACAACCCAGGACAATATGGATTTAGAGCGGGAAGGTCCTATCTGTCACAGTTACTCAACCACTATGACAAAAATCACAGTAGAAGAAAAAATGCAACAAATACACAGACTTTGTAAAAGCATTTGTTAAGTGTGACCATGGAATGATTGCCCATAAAATGAGATCATTATGAATAATGGGTAAAATGGGGCATTGGATATTGAACTTTGAATGTTACTCTTTGCATTCTGTTTGGCAATCAAATAAGATTAAGTCCAAGTGCAGTGAAAAGCACTGTACCCCAGGGCACAGAACTTACACCACTGCTCTCACATTTTGATCTTGGATATGGACAAAAATACTAGTCACAGCTTTGTCATTCTTTACAGAAGATAACAAATCAGCAGAAAATCTCTTCTGTAGAAGACACTGAAAAACTACAAGCCAATATTAATAAAGTCTTTTATTGGGCAATGGAAAATAAAATTATGCTTAATGGTAATAAGTTCCAGGTACTTGGGTATGGTGGAAATGAGAAACAAAACACAGGGTACAGGACACAATCAGATCTACTCATAGAAGGAAAGCAACATGTAAAAGATCTTGAAATTATGATGTCTGACGACCTAATATTTAGTGAACATAACCCAGAAAATACAGTGGCAGCCAAGAAAATGATTGAATGGCTTATGAGAACGTACAAATCCAGAGATCCAACAGCAATACTAATACTAGTATTTAAATCATTGATGCTGTCCTGTCTCTAGTACTGCTTGGTACTCACTTCCCCTTTCATAGTAGAGATTTCTGAAATAAGTGTAGAGGGAATACAGAGAACCTATACGGGATGCATAGACTTGATAAAACACCTAAATTATTGGGGCTCTCAGAGCTCTCAAAATGTACTCTTGGAAAAAAAAAGACAAGAGTGGTATCAAATAATACTGGAAGATCAAATCCCAAATTTGCACAGCAGAATAGCAACATGTTGGAGCAAAAGATACAGAAGGAAATGCAGAAATGTAGAGGTACCAGAGGCAAAATCAATCATTCTAATGTCAGAACATTAGAAGTCGATGGCTGTTCAGTACCCTCCCAGCATGCATTAGAAATATTGCCGGAACAAAGGTGGATGTATTTGACAATCTTTAGACAAGTTCCTGTAAGAAGTGCTGTACTATCCAGGCTGTAGTGGTAATGTGGGCCTGCAGGCTACTCCAAGCAACAGCCTGCTGTACCAAGTTATCAAGTTGAGCCTGGGCCCAGGCCGGGCTTGGGAAGTAGAAGAACTCCTGGGAACCCTCTCCAGGTATGGCCACCAGTGCCCAGAGCAGGGGGGTGTATAACTGGGGCAGCATAGCTGATGCAGCAATATAATGGAGGCAAAGACCCCCTTTCCCACATGATAAAAGCTAAATGCAGAGGGCGTGAAAGCCAATGACAAAGAAAACCTGGGCATGGGGCTGCCCGAGACTCACATTCTGAGAATAAGTGGGTGCAAACAGGCACAAAAGAAAGGTTCCCCCACCCCAAAGAAATTCCTGCAACATACAAGCAGACAGGTATGATAAAATTGCACCATGCAAAACAAGGATAGACCATCAGCCACGCACACCCCAGAGACTGTTAACGCACCGAAAAGGAGAAAAAGACCCAAACGGCAAAGATGAAGGATCCAGTAATGAAGCGAAACCAAGAAGTACAGGAAAAGATCCCCTGAGCCGCAGGAGGAGGAACCAGAAACAAATCTCCGGAAGGACAATCCTGTCGAACCAAAAGCACATGGCACTAAACCCTAGGGGTAAGCCGTTCCTTCCCAGTATTTCTGTGCCTGTCATATTTGCATAGCTTCTCCATCTTGTTCTTCTATATCCACTGTGAGCTCCTCTGACTCTCGGTTCCATCTTCCTTCTCAGCCCTTTTATCTTTTGCTCCTCCCCAGCCTATGACTGTCCAGGCTGATATCCATCCTCCCCAACCATCCTCGTTTGACCAATTATATAAGGGTTGTAGGTTGACCCCCCCCCCAGTCAATGCAAGGTAGTGTGAGCCATTCAGGAAAGGTTACACTATATGCAACAAAATGCGGTTTAACAAAAACTAAATTTAGCCCCCAGCTCAATATATATAAAGTCTTCCATATAATTTTTTTCAATAGTTCAAAAGAACTCAAAACATGATTTTTATACCTTTTATTATAAAATAATAATACAAGTATGAAGATTGATGAAAACTAGTCAGAGATAAATTAAAATTTCAAATCATGTTTGTACAGTATATGCTAGATAATAATAATTTGCTGTTAAATATGTTTACTATTTTATTTTATCAAAGCAAAGTACCTGTATTAAGATTGAAATTAAAATGCACTATTTACATATGGATAAAAAATTACCAGATGCCTGTTGACCAGACCACCAACCAGGAGGCCTTGTCCGAGACCGGGATACAGGGACGTTGATCTTCAGAATCAACCTGTCGACGACTTACAGTACTTAATGTTCTATAAAAATGATACAATAACTTGACACTATTCACTCTATAGCCATCCCCAAACTCCCATACTGTACCTACCTTCCCATTAAACTTATCTTAAATTCAGCAATACAAATTTCAGATAAATTATATTTCGTCCAAACCACTGCACTGTTACCAGACACTTATCACTCACTTGTAATTATAGCTACCGTCTAAACTTCATGAAGAAAAGTCAACAAATATACAGGAAAATGAGGGCAAAAAAATAATATTGCATTAAATCTTCAGGCATGTTTAATGTGCTGCCTAGCATATAACCTCACCTGTTTCATCTTACTCTGTATGGTTTTCTGTAATTTTGCAACCTCTTCACAAATTTCTTTACCCCTGTATTTGCTGGCCACCCCCCACTAAATCCTTTCTTCTTGTTTCCTCGCGGCCTGAATACACTGGCTACCAAATGTTGCCTCTTTTCCTGCTCCTCCTCTTGTAAAATTTCCTTCATCTTGGCTAAAGCATTAACATAGAGAGACTCGTAAGGTTTAAGCTCCTCCATGGAGATATTTAACTGAGTTGCTCCATTTAAATTATTTGAAAGTGCAGCTTTGAAGTCGCTCATCTGAAAATAAAAATAAATGATTACTACATTACATGTCTTGATAATAGTCCAGGACGGACCGAAATGTTGCAAATTCTTAAATTTTGGGGATTTGTGAGTCGATATCTTATTACTACATGTAATTACAACATACTGTACTGTAGACAAAATATGCAAGACAAGTCATATAAATAAATACTATATTTGTTACATACCCATATTGGCCTAGTGTTTTTTTTATAATTGCAGTACTGTACAGTACTTGCTTCTACAGTACTTGTACTTCACTTTATAAACACAAGTAACGATGCACAGAAAAGTACCTTCAGCATCGGCAGAGCATGTAATAAGCACAATACAATTTTCAGAAACAATAATAGGAATTCAGAGATGGATCAAAGCAGCATCGAGTGGACAAAGACTTGTGTTAATAAAAGAAATAATTAAAAATCCCCAAAACTGTAAGCAAAATTGTTATTTAATCCACACACGATTAATAAAAGAGCAAAGAAATGTGGCAACCCCAGTGCTAACCACACAAGGTACTGTATCTCAAATTCTTTCCCATAATAGGCAAAAGCAGGTCTAGATACAAGACCCACAACTGCCCCAGAAAACAAATGCTGGCTAACATAACTGGAAAGAATGTTGGAGGAATACATAAAGAACAAAGGATGCTGGAAGTGATGAATATTGTTTAGAGCCTAGAAAATATTATCACAATCAGTAATACTGTCATCGCTAAATAATAGCAGTTACATATTTATTTTGACATTTTTAGGCGATGCTGTGGTCACAAGCTGAACAGCAATGCTGTTAGCTCATGCTGCATGCACCACCCTTGGTTGCTCCCACAGTACTGTGGCTCTCACACTGGACAATATAAGCCCAATATTTTTTTTAAACATGGCGTCTACATTAGTTCATTTAAATATACTGTACAATGTCTACAAATATAGCTATTTTTTTTCCCCTGGCGGTAGTGTTACTTTCTAATTCCTGATGCCTCTAAAGTATGGAAAATTAGAGCTGTGTTGACCAAACCACACACTAGAAAGTGAAAGGACGACGACGTTTCGGTCAGTCCTGGACCATTCTCGCAATCAACTTGAGAATGGTCCAGGACGGACCGAAACGTCGTTGTCCCTTCACTTTTTAGTGTGTGGTTTGGTCCACATATTTCAGCCACATTATTATGACTCCTCGTCTGCAATTAGAGCTGTGACATTGTGACAGCTCTAGATAAGCAATCTGCAGCTTTCAATTACCTTCAAGACGTCTCCTCTAAGTCGTCTGAGGCAAAGGTCAAATTAAAGCTTTAGGGAAATAATAGCCATTTCCTATACTTTGGACGCAAAACCAATTAGAAAATAACACTTACTACCCAGGGACAAAATTGTCCTACATAGTTATTCACCCCAATATGAATTATTAAGGATTATAATAGGGTGAATAATTTATAATCCCTATAAATCAATGCACATGTGCATACAGATAAATGCACATACAATGCCTTTCTTTTGAATATGATCTGCTTCAAGTGGCAGAACTTTAAGTTTCTAGAGGTTGATCTATGCATTAACTGCATACTGTTTACCAAAGATTTTCATCATGGGTCAATAGTTATGTGATCCTGGGCCAGATGTCTACAGGGTAGATTTATTCCCCTTTTTTTTTAGTAGTTTGCAATACATAATTCCTTAAGCAACAAAGTTTGATAACTCAGAAATGAAAAGCATCTTTCTGTTGACAACAGTGAGTAGATGGAAGTGTTGTTGGTGTGGTGCTAACAACAGTGAGTAGATGGAAGTGTTGTTGGTGTGGTGCTAACAACAGTGAGTAGATGGAAGTGTTGTTGGTGTGGTGCTAACAACAGTGAGTAGATGGAAGTGTTGTTGGTGTGGTGCTAACAACAGTGAGTAGATAGCAAGGCAGACCTACTGGAAGTTAGAATATGCCATTAGCAGACATTTGTGATGCCACAGTGGACTTAAGAGCAGCTTTATGAATAAATCATCTAGCAGTCATTCACGGCTGGACTCGATGTTGTCTTCCTAGTACAGTATCAACCTGACTCTGCAATGTCATTTAAAAGGTTCTTTATGGCATATGTATAGAACTATAACCTGCTTGATATTTGCTTGATGGGGTTCTTCTACTCCCCTAGCCTGACCCAAGGCCAGGCTTGACTTGTGAAAGCTTGGACCACTGGGCTGTTGCTTGGAGCGGCCCGCAGGCCCACATATCCACCACAGCCCTGTTGGTCCGGCACTCCTCGGAGAAAATTATCTAGCTTTTTCTTGAAGATGTCCACGGTTGTTCCGGCAATATTTCTTATACTCGCTGGGAGGATGTTGAACAACCGTGGACCTCTGATGTTTATACAGTGTTCTCTGATAGTGCCTATGGCACCTCGTAGGCATGCCTACAATCACATGCTGCTCCTTTTGTGCCCATGGAATGTGTGAACCATGGGCACAAATGTCACGATTTGGACCACTCGACTTGGAAGGATCATACCATAGGGAGCAATCAAGTGCTCCATTTGGGAAAAGTGCTTTGCATACTCACTCAAAAGTACTATGGCGCACTTTTCCTTAAATAGCAAACTTAAAAGGAAAAACGTATATCTCCATACCGTATCTTTAGTAACAAGGGAGAGTGCCGTTCCAGGTTTGCCAGCCCTAGCAGTCCTTCCTATACGATGAACGTAGGTGCTCACAGATGTAACATCGTAGGACACTACATATTCTATGTCTGGGATATCCAAGCCACGAGCCATCGCATCACTAGACACCAGACTGTAAGAAATGGATAATATTGATGAGAAATTAAAGTAGAGTAATTATACTACATTAAAACATCTTGCACAAAAATTGAAGGTAATACTGAAAGGGAACTTTGTTTTAGTGCCCTACAACAATGTTGCCGGTTTAAAATCCATACAATAAAGCATTCCAAAGATGTAAAATAAAAACAAAACAAAATGGTTAATAATGGGACGTAATTTGCAATTTCAACGGAAGCCATACGTGTTGCTTAAAAGTAGACTTTTAGTTTAGCATCAATGTTAGGGGTGGTTCAAGATACATTAATTAAAAAAAAAAGCAAAATAGGGGAAAAAATGAATTATATTCTACGAGTGATTTAATACTCCACTTAAGTGTGGCATTATAGCAAGCTGACCATTCTAAATCCACCTCAATGAAAGAATGAAACATGCCCATTCACTGCTTAATAACTTAAAACTTAATTGAATAATAAAAATGATTTATTACTTACACATCAATTTTTCCAGCAGCAAACTGAGACACAATCTTATGCCGCTTATTCTTTTGAATTGAAGAAAATTCGGCAATTTTCAGGTCCTCGGACATAGCTGCCATAAGAACTGTAAGTTTATGGGTTGCTTGAATTGAATTTGTGAAGATCAGAACTTTGCGCCAAGATTTTGTGGTCAACATGTAATAAATTAGCAGTGGCTTCACAGACTCCTCCACGACTACATACTCTTCCTTCATCTCTGCTGGTCTGGTGTACTGATCAACCGTAGTGCCTACAACAGAAGCTTCCTTTACCTTCATTCCTGAAACGTTGAAGTTGAATTTATTATAACTATAAACAAAAACAAAAAGATGTCTTCTCAAGTTAATAAAACGAAATTTTATCTCACAGAATGAAGAGAGAGAGAGAACGAGAACACCAACAAATCTCATAGATAAAACAGACCAACTCATATAACCTGTGTTAAATGTAATGAAATGCCTCATTCTGCTGGGTAATTGGTGGTTCCTATTGCTTGCTACCTAGCAAGCTTCACCCAGTTCAGTCCATGCAAGGCCCTCGTGAGTCGCTAACCCAAGTGGGAGCCAGAGGCCAAAATCTGGCTCCCTCAAAAGACACATGGACCAGGATTTAAAGATCTTCCTAACCAAGAAAAGGACACCAGAATGGTAAACATAACAAAGCATAGAAAATGAGACAGCAAAGCCCTGAGATGCACAAACCACTCAATTGAGAAGCAGTTCTCTCATTAGTTCCACCTGCACACTGCCAAGGGAGTGCACACCTTCTTCCTAAACCAACTAGCCTAAATTGCCTCAAGTCATTTAGCCAGGAAGAACCTGTAGCCCCTGAACAGGAAAGGAAGGTCCCAAGGACCCACCACAAAGAGGCATTTCATTACTTTCAACACCAGTCTTTTGTGAGAGATTCCAAGGCTGGCTCCTTGGTGCTTCCTCACCACAAAGGAAAAACAAAATGGAGTACTCACAAGGAGTGGAGGAGAGCAGCAGAAAGTAACCTTAATAAAAGAGGACATTAGCAATGAGTTAATTGTTTCAAAGCCGAACAAGCCCGACATAGACCAAGAACGTTTACTAAGTAGCAAGTGAGCTGCCAACACCCTGCTAGACAGCCAAAACCCAAGCACAAATATCTAATCAAGACACATTCGAAAAAAACAGTCAGACTCGCAAACTTACGAACATCATGGATCCAAGGGAAAAGGAGCATAACAGCAAATGTCATAGATGTAAGCACCAGGCAAAATGGGTGGTTCGCAAGTCCGAGAGCTTTGCTCTCTCCATTTTTAATGCTTTATTTACCTTGCTGTTTGCATGGTTTCCCCCGCCTCTTGTGAACTTAGTTTCCCTACCTCTTGCACCTCTTTAGAGATAACCAGGTTTGTACCGTCAGTCCCCAGTACACTTACAATGACTCACAAGAGCCTCGCATGGGTTGAATTGGGTGGGGCTTGCCAGATAGCGAGCACCAAGAACCCACCTTAGGAACCCTCCCAGAAAAAACAATAACAACAACTTACTTTTATCTGCACTAGAAGTACTGCTAGCAGTAAACAGTTTTGGCCTGTATAACGGCACGTGCTGTAGCCGTTCGGGATCATGGGAGAGAGTTGCAGAGAAAAGCAGGCGGTGGAGAGGAACGTGTGGGAACTGAGTGGTACCACTTCCCTGAAAACCACCAATAAGGACATTCTCTGAGGCAGCCTCATGTTCCTTTACATACTGCTCCACACGGTTAATCCAGTCGCCACCATCTGCTGCAAGCATATGGTCAGCCTCATCAAAAACAAGGTACCTGAAGACAAAACAAACTAGTTGTTTTATTTGTATTAAAATTACATTTTTCACATGCAGTTTAATGGAAAAAAAATAACCAGGAATTATTATTTTTCAATCATGGTGGTGACGGGGAACGGGTCAGCCGAGCAGACAGCACGCGGGACTTGTGATCCTGTGGTCCTGGGTTTGATCCCGGGCGCCGGCGAGAAACAATGGGCAGAGTTTCTTTCAGCCTATGCCACTGTTACCTAGCAGTAAAATAGGTACCTGGGTGTTAGTCAGCTGTCAAGGGCTGCTTCCTAGGGGTGGAGGCCTGGTCGAGGACCGGGCCACAGGGACACTAAAGCCCCTAAATCATCTCAAGATAACCTCAAAATAACCTACACTACCATTATTTGGATTTTACCTATTACTCAATACTTAAATGTTTTAGGCACATTATTTTGTGTTTTCCTCCTATTGTTTTTGCCTATCGGAGCCTATAAAAACTTACATCATCACACAAAAGAGTGCTAAAGGTATCTTTTTTTTTTTCACAACAGTTGCACGTCACTTGAACAAAATTCTATTCCCCAGAGGTCTGTATCCATAAAAAGGATTACGCTCTGATTATAGTCTATCGTTCTTTAATTATCCAGATTATGTATTACATTAAAAGTTTGAAATTTACACAATCTGGATTTGCTGTAGCTATTAATTAAGATACACAAATGAAATTTTTACCGAATTTATTTTATACAAAATATACTTTATCCATGCAAGTTTATTATTAAATTTGTACCAATGTCTCTCCTATTATTTGCACTAATAGAATCACATTATTTCTCACAGAAAAACAATGAACACTTGAACACTACACATGTTTTACTGTAACGGAAATCCCTCTGTCAAGGACCTAGAAACAATTAATTCTAGATAATCAAGACATCACTATTTCACATGCATCATCCTCTCCACAACTCTCTTCTCTGCAATATTTACTTTCGCTCCTGCCATCAACACATTGCTCCCGTACTGACTTAATATATCTCAACCTTTCGCTCCTGCCATCAACACATTGCTCCCGTACTGACTTCTTATATCTCAACCTTTCGCTCCTGCCATCAACACATTGCTCCCGTACTGACTTAATATATCTCAACCTTTCGCTCCTGCCATCAACACATTGCTCCCATACTGACTTAATATATCTCAACTTTTCGCTCCTGCCATCAACACATTGCTCCCGTACTGACTTAATATATCTCAACTTTTCGCTCCTGCCATCAACACATTGCTCCCATACTGACTTAATATATCTCAACTTTTTGCTCCTGCCATCAACACATTGCTCCCGTACTGACTTAATATATCTCAACTTTTCGCTCCTGCCATCAACACACTGCTCCCATACTGACTTAATATATCTCAACTTTTCGCTCCTGCCATCAACACATTGCTCCCGTACTGACTTAATATATCTCAACTTTTCGCTCCTGCCATCAACACACTGCTCCCATACTGACTTAATATATCTCAACCTTTCGCTCCTGCCATCAACACATTGCTCCCGTACTGACTTAATATATCTCAACTTTTCGCTCCTGCCATCAACACACTGCTCCCGTACTAACTTTTGAAACCTGGGGTATCTCTATATCTCTTGTATCCTATATCTCAACCTGGGGTAACACGCGACAAGCATGGTTCCTTATGTTGAATCACAAGAGGAAATGCACAATACAATTACAGTAGCTGTTACTGTGAATTGAATGATGAACATATTAAAATGTACAGGCAGTTGACCAGACCACACACTAGAAGGTGAAGGGACGACGATGTTTCGGTCCGTCCTGGACCATTCTCAAGTCGATTGACAATCGACTTGACCACACACCACCTAGTGTGTGGTCTGGTCAACTTACTTTTGCCACGTTATTGTGACTCATCGCCTGCAAATGTACAGGGAGCACTTGATGTGCAAGAGGGTTATGTTTCTGTCAATAATGAGCAGTTAGAACTTTGCAAATCTAATATATAGACATGAGAACATTTGGGTTATAGTCCAGAGACTTTCAAAAGTCCAAATTTTCTCCCTGCTCTTTATTGAATATGCACATGCCCAAAGCACTACATATAACAAGTGGCTTTATATAATAAACCAATTACTTTACCCATTATGTAACCAGTTTAACTTGGCCAATGTATTGGCTAATGTATTAATAAAATTCTATTAAAATACCTTTTTAATCATTAATATTTGATGCTTCCTAAACTTTACAGTGCATATACAGCACATAAGCAAATCTTCAATGCTTGCATTGATGCAAAAATCTAATCCAGAAAGTTTGATATCATAAGAATATGATGTGTATGGGAAGTCCAACACACTGGGACCAAAGAGCCAGAGCTCAATCCCTACGGGTTCACCACAGCCTGTGCTGCTTGGAACTTTTTGTTCCAGGTAGCGAATCTTAAACAACAACAATCAATCCCTGCAAGCACAATAAGGTGAATACACAGCCAAGAACACTGCAAATCCACTAACTTGTGAGATTGTCCCACATCAGAGTACAGTACACTGAAATATTCACCCACCAACTTTGAAGAAGTTATAAAAGTACTAACCCACGTATCATCAAATCCTCATACTCTACAGCCACGACAATTGAGGACTGTCTGTAGTAATAACAAATTTCAAATAAGAGTAATTTGAAGTCTTTTGAACAAATCCACAATGGCCGTGACGAGGATTCGAACCTGCGTCCAGGAACATCCCGGACATCTTTGAAGTCTTTCCCCTTATCACAATTCATCTTCTTGATATAGTCTCAGATTGTAATATAAAGTCAAACTTACCTCAGCGAAGAAAGATCAATGCCTTTAGTGAGCCTCAGATGATCGGCCAGCTTCCCAGGTGTGGCCACCAGTATGTCAACACACGAATGATAGCCTCCATAGTCTTGACGAACCAAACTTTGCTGTTCCTTCACAAATGATTTCTGTCCAACTGCTATGCCGACCTTAAGGTTGCTGACTTTTACATACGTCTGGAAGACTTTGTACACCTGAAAGGAATGAACAGTATCAAACGGTATAGAAAGAAACAAAACTAAAACTTATTAATAACTAAAAATAAAACAAATCATGCATAAGTTCTCTAAATAGAGTACTGTATTAATAGAGCTGAACAACAAGAGGGCCAAGCTCATATTGGCAATTTTTATATTCTTAAGACTTCTGTTTGCTAAACACATTTTTGTAATTAAAAGTCATCTTTGAAAATATTGCCCTCATCACGGAATCAAGGGAACATGGGCAAAAGATACACACACTCACAATTCAGTCAGAGATGTAAGAAAATTCTCATTCCTTGTAAGAGTGGTTGGGAAGAGGAATGCATGGAAGGAAGAAGTTGTCGAAGCCAATTCCATACATAAATTTAAGAAAAAATATGATACAAATCTTAATGTTGAGAGAGAGACGAGAGAATTAGCATACCAGTTATAAATGTCTAAGCAGCAGGGAATGAAGAGCTAGATCTCATTTCTCGGTAGTCACTGACAGGCAGGCATCATCAAAGTAATTCACTATAGTACTTAAACGTATTCTCAAACGCCACGATTACATTTATTCACAATGTTAACTGACTGTGCTATGGCAATATGAAGTTAAATATTTAAAATAAAGACACCCAGGATATAACAAATATATTTATTAAAATATATTTCACATTTAATCAAATACTGTACAGTTTATACAAGTACAATATAAATACTATAACAGTAATACAAAACAAATAGCTTTAAGCAGTATATTTTTTCTGGTCACAATGTCCTTTAAAAAAAAAAAGCACATTAGAAAGAAGAAAAGCCATAATAAATAAATATAAATCTTGAGGTTATCTTGAGATGATTTCGGGGCTTTTAGTGTCCCCGCGGCCCGGTCCTCGACCAGGCCTCCACCCCCAGGAAGCAGCCCGTGACAGCTGACTAACACCTAGGTACCTATTTTACTGCTAGGTAACAGGGGCATAGGGTGAAAGAAACTCTGCCCATTGTTTCTCGCCGGCGCCCGGGATCGACCCCGGGACCACAGGATCACAAGTCCAGCGTGCTGTCCGCTCGGCCGACCGGCTCCAAATAACCTAATCCCATACATATTTTTCCCCACTTCTAATACATGGGTTTAGTCTTTATTTGTCCCAGCTACATTACTGCTACAGTGACTTTAAGGCCTTTAAAACTGCACATTATACTTAGCAGTACCTGAATCGCAAGCTCTTGCACAGGTAACAGCACCAACGCACGTATTCTTGGCACTGTTCTGCCGTTGAGCGCCTGGATGATCGGTAGAACATAGGCAAGAGTCTTTCCACTGCCAGTAGGTGCAGATACACAGATGTCGTGTGGTCTATATCTGCTAGAAATAACTGTATATACAATTTGCATATAATTTGAACTCAGATGCACTTACAAATATTTTCCATGCAATTTAATTATTAAAAAATACAGAATAGTACAGTACTGCACCATATATCACTAAAACAGCAATTAGTATACAGCAATACAAGTATAATAGAGAAATCATAAGAACTAGACATGAATACACACACTATCAACTGGGTTATATTAAATATATTTAAGAAGTATAAGCATGGGGCTGTGAATAACAAGTGCATTGATTTTTTTATCAGAATGCTTAAGTGCCAATGAAAGCTACAGCACCTTATTGCATTTAACATTAATGACCATGGATTGAAATGCAGCTGGAGACCAGATGGACATGTAAACAAAGCTGCCACACGCACCCCCCTCAACACACCTGATAGACAGAGAACTAGCACTGGCGAGAATCTCGGGGATAACAGCTTTCTGGACAGGGAAGAACCGCTCAATCTTCTGCTCCACTAATATTTCCTTAAGAGATTTATCTAGTCCTTGAATGGAATCTATGGAAATGCTGTCCGACTGCAGATCTCTACCAATAACTGTGGGGTTGGCCAGCCACTGTGGTAATGTCCGATGTAACTGAATTGGACAAATTGTTCGTATTAATAACCAGACACTTGATTTATATGAATATAATTTCATAATACATATAAAAGAAAGTAAGAGTGCAGAAGTACACATTTAAAACTAGTAAAGGTGTATTGAAATTAAAAAATACAAAAAAGCAAGACATGAAAAATGAGAAAATACAGAAGAATACTCCTGTATATTTTTTTTAAAGAATCGGAATCAATAATCATATCGGAATCGAGACGTTTTAGTGAAATCGGCATCTTTACTGGAATCGTTAGAAATTTTAGTATCCCATCATTAGTGGTTATGTTCGTATTGGTGGTGATTGCGTTTGTAGTTCAGTAGTTATTTGTTGGGGTTTTCATGGATGTAGCAGTGATTACAATTGTGCTTATAGTGATTGTGGTAGTTATCATCATGGTAGTTATAGTGATAATTTAGTAGTACTGTACATTAGTTATGGTATTTGTATTGGTTATAATGTTTGTAGTGATACAGCCAAGAACCAAGCTGCCAGGAGGCACTCGGATGTTTCCCTCCCCACTCTGCTGTCAAGTCACCTGGGCATAGCACAAAAGAGCTGGTTGGATGAACCACACCAACCACTAGCGCTGCATGAACACCGAGAATGACCCCGTGGCCACACCACAAGGCGCACACCAAATGAGGACAGATCCAATTCAAACACAATGTCCCAGTTCTATAGCAGGAACCAAAGCAAGTCCCTCTTGAGTCATTCTCAGAGGAAGCAAAGACAATGAAAACCTGTTCAGGGAAGACGAATCCAGGAAACAAACTAGAAAGGAGAGGTGGTGTCAACCTCGTACTGGGATGGAAGGATAAGAGCCAGTGTCCACACAGGGCAACAAATCCGCAAGGCCAGGAACAAAATTAAAAAAAAAGGGCCAGAGCAACCATAGACCCTCATCCAGACAATCCCAAATCTTGGTATCTGCTGCAGTACCTGTTGATTTTTCAGAAGGGCCATAGAGGGAGCCTACAGTCACATTGCAGCAGTATGGCGCCTACATTACCACTGGAGTTCTGGGCCAATATTATCACCATAGCTCGGAACCTACATTCCAAGAGCTCAGAGTCTAAACACAGGAAATAGACAGGGCGTCAGAAAGGAAAGCCTTCAAACACCAGGAAGCCGAATCCATGGGCCTATCAAAGAGACAAAAGAATCGATTGAAGGATAGTAGGCTCCCTAGCCTCTGTCAAATCCCTGGAGGAGACAGTCCTTGTTGCTGCCTCTACCATCCCAACATCCACTGTTGCCTGCAAACTCAAATCACGAAGCCTCTGAGGAGTCTGAACCAACGTAGGAGACAAACGTCAGGAGAATTGATGCTGTCGGCCAAACCAGTTGATCTCGTATCCCTATCTCCACCGCCTCATAGCGAGCCAGATTATGATCCTAGCCTATTGTAGGTAAGGATGGGTTTCAAAGGCAGGATGGATTTAACCATGGCTTGGTAGTACTGTATCAAAAGAGGCTCAAGTAGCTATTGAGGGGTCCATCCAAGAAAATAAAGGAACTAAATATAAGTAAGGGAAAACCAAAATCCATCCCTCTACTCATTCCTGGACTCTTCAGCAAGTAGAGATGTCAAGAGGATAATGCAGCTGTATCTCTGTGACATAACTGTAATAATGGATGCCTTTAAACAACAGATCAAATCCATCCACTGGGGCACCTGTGGGTGGAGACTGATCCGTTCCGTCTATTGAACATTGGATATATGATAAATCCACCCAATATACAGTATTTTGTAAATATGTACTGTATATTGAAATATACATTAAATCACTTATTATAATAAAATCAAGAAATTTGACACTAAATAACCAAAAAGAAATTTGGGAGGAGGACTTATTTTTGTATTTTATACAAATCCAATAGGGTTTAGATTTTCTGTTATCCAGATTTTTTAAGGGAGCACTGTATTACATAGTCTAAACATTTATACTGTACAAGTTTGTGCATCATATGATACAATACCTAACCAATCTTATTTAATTTCATGACTGACCTCAGCTTCTAGTCGCCATGCAGATGATTTTACAATATCAAATAAAGCACTTGAAAGATTCATACATACGTACAAATATTAGCTTATGTTAGTATGAGAGGCAACAACAAATAATTAATTACCGTTTCTTTTCTAGTCGCATCCACTTCTCGCATGAGAGTAAAACCCCCAATTTCTCTGTCTTTCGTACTTCCTGACTTATCCTTGCCTTTCATTCGTTTCTCTTTTCTCTTTTCTTTTTTCCTTTCTCTTTTCTTTTCACTATTCTTTTTCTTTACGTTTTTCTTTTTTTTATTCACTATGTCTTCTCCAGGTGTAGATGTTTCATTTACATTAGACGCATCTAATTCACTATTTATAATTTTTGAGTCTACAGAACTTTCCGCTTGTGGCGTTTCATGAATGTCAAGAAGAGTGTCGTGTGGTAGCTCTCCTGGCCACAGAGGTCCCTCATCACCATCACGACTTGCACCACAAACACTGCTATCAACTTCATTCACAAAATCTTCGGGCACTTCCTTCATCTTTTTTCTCTTTTTTTTCTTCACAGACTCGGGGGTAGAAAAGTTTACAGGCACATTCCCATCTTCTGGTTCAATAGCTTTGCTGTCTTCAGTGAATTGATCTGTGCTTTCTTCCATTCCTCTCTTTCGTTTCTTTTTCTTTGACGATTTCTCGGCGTTTATCTCCTCGTGAATTCCTTGCGCCTGTTCTATAACACTAATGACTGTGTCTAAATTACTTTTCTTACTAGTATTATCATAGACTTTCTTCTCCTTTTTCTTCTCTTTCTTTAGTGATTTGACGAGACTCTCATCAGCTGGCTCGCAGCTCGCAGCATCTAATCTGTCCACCTGACTGTCTTCACCCACCTCCTCATCTGCCTTTTTCTTTTTCTTCTTCTTCTTCTTCTTCTTCTTCACCAGACCCTCCTCCATCCTTTCCTCAGTATTATTTAATGTGTCAAGACAACTAGCATGCTCTATTTCTTCACCATTTTCTTCTCTCTCTTTTCTGTGCTTTTCCTTCTTTTTGTGTTTTTTGCCCTTTAGGTCATAAATTATTGTTTCTTCCTTAACCAATTCACTTGTTTCTTCTTCAAGTGTCTGGTTTAATTCACCGCTGTTTTCCTTTCTTTTGTGCTTCTTTTTCTTTTTCTGCTTTCTCTCTACATCACTAGAAACTTCCTCAATTTTACCAGTAAAGTCCGACTTACTGGTGGTAGTGGACACAGGTGCCTCTACTAATTTAAACCTCCCCACTGCAACATCATCTCCCACTCGATCATCCCCATTCATCTCTTTCTCTGCCTCACAGGTTTCCTTTTCTTTGAGTTTTTTCTTCTTTTTCTTTCTACGTCCCTCACTGAAGCCATCCTCGCAAGTAGAAACCACTTCACTTGTAGCTGTAATGTTGCCCTTGGCACTAAGGTCAGCATGTGCTTCCTCATCTACGATGCTTTTGGTGGATGCAGGTTCGTCAACAAATTTACGCCGAGCCTCCACAAAATCGTCTCTCTGTGGCTCATCACTGCTTGTCCTTTGCTTTGCCTCGCTCAACAGCCTGTTATCTAGTGGTGACTTGCCAGCCTTCAAAGCCCTTGCTCGTGCATTGATACGATCCAATATGAGAGAAGCTTGGCTCGTACCACCTGGTGAACCGAGGCCTCCCCCACTATTCGATGAAGGACCCCAGTACCGACCTGGTGTGATAGGAGCACTCTGTGTCACCCTCATCTTTATGGTTGACTTGAAACTGAAAGAGATTTCAAATGTAATACTCATTTTAATTTTATATATACACAGTAGTACAGTGCTGACATTGTACATATATATACAGTATGTCATGAAAATCATAATCTTAAATACATTAATTTGTATTTATGAAAACCCACTGTATTGTGAAATAAGGCCAAGCTAAACTGACTAGCAGTGGATATGATACAAATACCAACAACCCACTTACCGAAATCTCCAGCACACTTGTCATCTATTAAATGCACAAGCAACGGTACAAGGACGAACTACAGGCATCTCTCGATTTACGAGTACAGTACCGTATTTTAGAATTTGGATTCAGTTGTGTGTAGGAACATTTATATCAAGTTTCATAGCCTGAGGGTGAATTTGAAACATATGTGACTATAGATCCGATTAGTGTAAGTTAATCAGACAATGTGCAAATTTACTGCATTCTCAACAGTGTGTCGGGCTCCCACACACATTCATTTTTAACATTTTGGGATTATAGTCTTGCATCACTGCACATCACATGTATTCTGATCTTCATTATGTAGCTTACTGTTGTCGCTATAAATGTAGCATGATGCAATGATTGAAAGATGTTACCAATGTATGTAACGATGTGTCACGAGTTCAGGGAAGCACAATGCGTACAAGCTATATAATGATCACAGCAATGGAATGGATCTATCAGGAAAAAGTGCCAAGCCATTACGACTATATAGCACTTGGAAGGGGTCAGGATAAGGATTTGGGATGGGATGAGGGAAAAGGAATGGTGCCCAACCACTAGGACGGTCAGAGATTGAATGTTGAATTGCATGAAGCGAGACCTTCGCTTCAAGTGGCTGGGTGGTCACTTAATGATTGCAGCAAATATAATAGGCATGCCGTAGCTGTGATTGTAGTGGTTATTGTGATTTTTTTAATGTTGTATCTGTAATGAAATTTCAAGACTACTCTTTTTGCTCCTACAGCCTTGGTGATAACTTGATGAACCTTAATATGTTTACCTTAACCCATCCTAACTCCCATTTTGTTGGGAGCAACCTACAAGCCCATACAGCCACAGCCAAGCTGATCAGAAAGTTCCTACAGGAAGCTCTCTAGCTCCCTCATGATAGCTAACTCTTGTTCCTGCATTATTCGTTACAAGCTCTGTACAAGTAGAAGGTTCAATAGTCATGAGCCTCTATAGTTCATAGTATTCTCTAATACTGTAGTGCTCATGGTACCATTACTTTTCATGGGGTACTGTATATTCTACATTCCTACCATCTCTTTCATTGCATAGATCAGTAACTTAACCAAGTGTATTTTTATATACAGTATGTGTATAAAATATGTGATATTTCTATCGTTTCTATCATCTTTAGTCTTGGGAGTACTGTAACTAGATTCTGCAAGCCTTGTGTGCATTATTGCCAGCAGTGATGAATCTGAAAACCATCTATTTGCATATGTCTTGACAGTCTTGAAAGAGCAATTCCAGATCATTATTCCAGGGGAGATGAAGAATATGATTAACACGAAGGTATCCCTTGCTTTAACAAATTTCATAATCTACCCAACCATTTTCCTGGTAGATGCTAAGTTGGCTTTGTTGAATTCAACCATCAGCCGTCAATTTTTTACACAAGTATTTAAATGCTATGAAAAGATTTTACTGCATCTTCTAACCTACAATAAATTTAAGTTCTTAATTATTTTCCATACCTAACTTCAGAACTATACAGTAGCTGGAATGTCACTTGAATACAGTATCATATATTTTTCCCCTGGTCCAATGAAAGATTTTCTAGATACAGTACTGTATCTGAATGTATTTAGTGTCTTCGGCAAAGGCAATTCTCATGCAGGTTTGCATAACATTCACAAAGAACAACATAAAGCTGTTTTGTGATCTGGTCTATACTATATATGATATGAGGTATAGTATAGACCAGATCACAAAACATCGCAACAGTGTAACAGCGCAAGCACTGTATGTTCTTGCGCTGTTACACTTTCTTAGTGTAACAGCGCAAGAACTGTATGTTCTTGCGCTGTTACACTTTCTTAGTGTAACAGCGCAAGAACTGTATGTTCTTGCGCTGTTACACTTTCTTATAGTGTAACAGTGCAAGAACTGTATGTTCTTGCACTGTTACACTTTCTTATAGTGTAACAGCGCAAGCACTGTATGTTCTTGCGCGGTTACACTTTCTTATAGTGTAACAGCGCAAGCACTGTATGTTCTTGCGCTGTTACACTTTCTTATAGTGTAACAGCGCAAGCACTGTATGTTCTTGCGCTGTTACACTTTCTTATAGTGTAACAGCGCAAGAACTGTATGTTCTTGCGCTGTTACACTTTCTTATAGTGTAACAGCGCAAGCACTATGTTCTTGCGCTGTTACACTTTCTTATAGTGTAACAGCGCAAGAACTGTATGTTCTTGCGCTGTTACACTTTCTTATAGTGTAACAGCGCAAGAACATGCAGTACCTTGAAGCACACAGCATTTAACAGTGCCCAAACTGGATATTGGTATACTTATGACATTTGTAACCCCATGTGTTAGAAAACTTAACATCTCCCTCTCTATTGCCCCTTCTTTTTCCTTTGGATTCATTTTAAGGGTTAATGATCATTTTATCAATTATCTTTTCAAAATCTGTGTATACATCAGCACTCTCATTATCGTACATGGCTTCTGTATTAACATTATCTTCAAAGTCAATGTGAATTTGCAAAGCTTTTGCAATTTTTTTTCATGGTAATTGAGGTTTAACTCAATCATACACTCAACTCGGATAATAAAATTGTGCGACTTGTCTATAAATTTTACCATCACCTTACTGCCTCAAGCGTTTTTTTCTATAAACCTTGCTGCTACAAGCAAGGTTTATGAAAAATTGTCACTTCAATCTACCTTTTTTATATACAAGAGTTGTTACATTCTTGTAGAGCCACTAGTACGCGTAGCGTTTCGGGCAGGTCCCTGGAATACGATCCCCGCCGCGAAGAATCATTTTTTCATCCAAGTACACATTTTACTGTTGCGTTAAACAGAGGCTACAGTTAAGGAATTGCGCCCAGTAAATCCTCCCCGGCCAGGATACGAACCCATGACATAGCGCTAGTAGTACATACAATACCTAAAGTCACTAGTACGCATAGCGTTAAAAAAAAACATAAAAAAAAAAAAAATTATATTACGTAAATTAACCCATAACCAACTCTTTTCATTAAAAATAAACTTTAATCACTAAAGCCAAGAAAATTACATCTCCACATTCCAGTCACATGCTAACAGGCAAGGCTAAATAAATGAATTTAGTAGATGCTTACTACCTGTACTGGCAGAATGTGCGTAAATATCAGCGGCAGCAGCTTGCCTGTATCTACATCACTTTCAGATCAAAAATGAAAATGATGATTCTAAGCATATTTATTCCACCAACTAGGTAGTAAACCCATGGAATCACCTACCCGCTGAATCCATAGTGGCTAAGACAATACTTCTGTTTAAAATTCAGCTAGAAAAAAATTCTTAGGAACAATGGTGGGACTTTTATTTATTCATTTATCAACTGTGCCAGGGGTCAGGCAGACAAGAGTGTATTCATACACATTACGCTTATATCGAGGTCAAATTACCGACGTCACTCAGGATACAACCCCACAAGAAGCTGACTAACTCCTGAGCAGGCGATGAGTCACAATAACGTGGCTAAAGTATATTGACCAGACCACACTAGAAGGTGAAGGGACAACGACATTTCTCCTTCCTGGACCATTCTCAAGTCGACTTGAGAATGGTCCAGGACGGACCGAAACGTCGTCGTCCCTTCACCTTCTAGTGTGGTCTGGTCAACAACTGACTAACTCCTGAGTACCTACTTACTGCTAGGAATAAGGTGAATGGAAATGTGCCCAACCATTTCTGTCCCACCCGGGATTCAAACCCAGAATTCTCGACTGCGAGTCCAGAACGAACCCAACTGTACTAGCTGGTGGTTGACAAACCACCAGCTTCCTGTCCCTGTCAAGGCTGCTAAAAAAAATAGCAGCCCTCAAGGTAAACACTGTTCAGTGTGCTTATTACTTTCGTAGGTTTACCACCGACCTATTTGGATATCAACACGTGTGTATTGAACTATATACATAATGAAAATGTTATAACAAAATGTAAACTATACATATAACCAGAAAACATGGCAAAATACAAAGTGATACCTCGTACTGCAATGACAACTATCAGGTTCTAGTTACTACCGCAACAAAAACTTACCTAAACGACAAATAACCTTTAATATTACCCAAGCAATTCTCATCGCCCTTTAACAGCCTGGCCCAAGTGAGTACTGCCCAAGGAACAAAAAATTAACATACCGTTAACACACTAAGATCACCGCCCGGTCCTCTATGCTAGCTGTTGACACAAGACCACATCTACTGAGGTCTGAGCAACACTACACACATACACTATGATCTACCGCCAGTATTGTAACTAGAGGCAGTGTACAGTACACTCTACACCTGCAGTAGGGCACACAGGGGTCAGAGTGCCACCTGTTGTGGGGTCATGGAAGGACACCAGAGGCCAAAGCGTCAACATTCACGTGGGTGTTGTTTTAGGTTTCAGGCAGCAAGTAATCCGCCAAGTTATCTCAAAACCGGTAAATATGTACAGTCTACAAATGTAAAAATATGTCAATATAAACATAAATATATATAAATACAGTACTAATATATTCTATATGTAATTGTTAAAGCTTCATTAACTTATATGGAAACAAATTCAATTTGATTTCTCCATAAAATTCCTGAAATAAAAATAATGTAAAACGTAAAAATATGGTATAAATTTTAGACATTTACACATGAGGACTTCGTTAATAAAATAACAAAATGCTATGATAAATGTGGGGGGGGGGGAATCCCAATGCCAAAGAACTTTAAATTGGTTTTATATCATTTCCATTTATCAGGGACGGTAAACCGATTCACGAAGCAGTTACGCAAGAACTTACGAACGTGTACATCTTTCCTCAATCTTCGACGGCTTTGGTTACATTTATTAAACAGTTTACAAGCATGAAAACTTCTCAATAATCTGTTGTTATTGTTATAAACAGCCTCCTGGTGCTTCGGAGCTCGTTAACTGTTTAATAATTGTAAACAAAACCGCCAAAGATTGAGAAAAGATGTACAGGTTCGTAAGTTCTTGCGTAACTGCTACGTGAATCTGGCCCCTGCAGAATGCCGGGAGCTAGGCAAGACTGGCTGGGTGCTGGGGGGGGGGGCTAGGTCAGTAGTTGGGCCTAGCCCCTAGTCCTCCCTGGGCTAGGCCAACTACTCACCTTCCTCAGGATGCAACCCACAACAGTTGCCTAACTCCCCGGGTATCTATTTTAACTGTTAGGTGAACAGAGGCATCAGGAAACGTGCCCAACCGTTTCTGTAATGTCCTGGGATTGAATTCACTCAGGTCTCTATACTGTGAATCAGTGGTCTGCGTTCTTTCATGTAATGCCTCTGTTCACCTAGCAGTAAATATAGGCGCTCGGGAGTTAGTCAACTGTTGTCGGAAATTATATTACCTGAATTTACCTTAGGGACACTAACACTAGTGGCCTCGACTGGGCGGGAAGCCGGCGGCTTGTCGAAGGTCCCCTCCATTTGCCCTAATGATCTTTTCCAATTAGGTTTTAAAATTCAACAGTTCTGACATTGACGGCTTCAGCGGGTAGGCGGTTCCATGGGTTTATTCTGTAATGATGTGCATGAGGTAACGATGATAGAGGACAGTCAGCAGGAGAATACACTTTCTAGTAGTGTCTCCAGTCTCCAGTTCAAACAGTCTCCGTGGTGTAGTGGTAAGACACTCGCCTGGCGTTCCACGAGCGCTATGTCATGGGTTCGTATCCTGGCCGGGGAGGATTTACTGGGCGCAAATCCTTAACTGTAGCCTCTGTTTAACTCAACAGTAAAATGTGTACTTGGTTGTAACAAGGATTCTTCGCGGCGGGGATCGTATTCCAGGGACCTGCCCGAAACGCTACGCGTAATAGTGGCTTTAGGCATTGTATGTACTAGCTCTATCTATTAATCCATCAATTTTTGTATCACCTATTGTGTGTATTTACTTTACCTGAATAAACATTTGATTGATTGATAAAGATTAAGCCACCCAAAAGGTGACACGGGCATGAATAGCTCGTAAGTGGTGGCCTGATTGATTGATTGATAAAGATTAAGCCACCCAAGAGGTGGCACGGGCATGAATAGCCCGTAAGTGGTACAATTTTTTTTTCTCAGTATTCTGAGGTTGCATTTAACCATCAAGCTGTTATCGTGGGGGAGGATACTGCTTCACAGTCTTTATGAGGGTGTCCAGCTGCTGGACACCTTTGTTGACCAGGAGAGTGGCTGTGTTGATGGCTTCAGGGTGGCCACTGCATGATTCAGGAACTCTTAAAGCTCTTCTAAGGTCATTGGTTGCTTCACATTCCAGAAGATAGTGAAGTAATGGCTTTTCTGTGACAGTTTGGCAGAAGATGCACTCTCTCTGTCGGGGTTCACCAATCTCCCAGTTGCATCTGTAACCTAGACGTAGTCTATATAACCTAACTGCTATTTCCCTGTGGATTCCTTTTGGGATATTTAACCTTCTAATTTGGTTGCCTGAAGATACCATGTTGCAGATGGCGAACCTTCAGCTATTCTCTGGTGTAGGTAGGCTTTGTTGAGATGTGAGAGTTTTTTGGTGATGATGTTTTTTATGTTCTCTAGGCTGGGTTGAATTGTTTTATGTATCACTGGATGACGAGTTGCAAATTTAGCAATTTCATCAGCTTTCTCATTTAATGGAAAGTTATGTTGAGGCCTTTGCCTTTAGCGACTGCTCCAAGATACAAAATGGTGGTAATTATTTCCACATTATCTTTCCACTGTTTTTATCCTAGTATTTGAAGTGCAGCTTTTGAGTCTGTGTGTATGATTGCATTTTGAGTGCTTTGTGCAATTACATATGCGAATGCCTGTTGTATGGCAAACAGCTCAGTTTGGGTTGATGATACTAGTCCTCCCAGTCTCCAATATGCCTGTACGCTGGTCGTGCAAAGAGCAGCGCCAACACTCTCATATTCTGTGTCCACCGATCCGTCTGTGAAGATGGAAGACGTAAATAAAATAAGGGGTAAAAAGCATAATTTTGTTGCACATCTTGACCCGCAAGGAATTGCAAATGGGCTCGTAAATAAATGGGCGGAAGCTGCCAAACTTAGTTCATTACCCGCTGTAACGAGAGAGTCATTAGATTCGTGGAAAGATCTAAGAAAGGATTTTATACTTACAGCAGGTAACAGTGGTGATGTCACTTGCACAGGTATTACCAGAGAAGAACTAATAACGGCGATTAAAGTTGGGAAATCTACCGCCCCTGGGGAGGATGGAGTAACTTATGAAATACTTAATGAACTTGCCACTATGACGAAAAGCCCACTTTTAGACCTCTTTAATATTAGTTATAAAGAGGGCAGTATTCCCAGTAAATCAATAAATCAATTCTCAGAAACTAAGTTTGAATGTAGAAGTCGGAGGCCCATTATATTGAAAATAAACGGTAAAAATATAGAGTTAATATATATAAATATTTAGGCATATATGTTAGATATACCCATGAGAGTTTGGAAGCCGAGATGAACAGTTCAAGTTCAAGTATGTTTATTGAGATAAGCAATAAATACATCTCAAAGGGATAGAGTAGCTTAGGCTATTTCTACCCCCCCTTAAGAGATGAACAGACTATTGGGTCAATGTCGGAAGAGATTACAACCTCTGAAGGCCTTGGCATGCTGTGGAAAGGGAGTGGGAGTCCCTGTGCTACGAATGATGTACTTGAGTACTGTAAGATCTCTTATTGATTATGCTGCACCTGTCATTTCTTGTTTTGGTAAAGGTAGGATGGGCAAGGTGGAGAAGGTACAAAATGAAGCCATGAGAACTATCTTAGGATGCCCAAGAAATGCTATGATTGAGATAATGAGGATGGAGTTGAATCTGCAGAGTATTAGGGATAGAATTTCAGAGATAAATGTAGCCTCTGCCATTAGATTAATGAGAGGTGGGGGAGCTAATGAATTAATCCTCTCGGTTCAAAAGGTGGGAAGTAGTGAACAGTGTATGATGAAGAAGAGAACATATATGAATAACTTATGTTCTAATGTTATAAAGTATGATGTTATTACAGAGTGTATTGTTGTGCCCAAGAGAAAACTCACACCACCATGGGAGGATTGTAATGTAGATGTAGTAATTACTCCCTTGCAAAAGAAAAAAAGTATGTATGAAATAGGAGAGCTGAGGGCAACATATGATTGTATAATTAGGAAATTACCTACAGAAAACACTCTACATGTATATTGTGATGGGTCAGTAGCTAGGGATGGGAAGGCAGGATGTGGAGTCTTGATCAGGGAGTACACTGACATCGGCACTGTAGATACTGTTATTGGACGCCGCTTAACTGATAATGTCTCTTCAACGCAGGCTGAACTCCAAGGTGTATTAGCAGGATTTCAGGAAGTAGTCAAATGTGGTAAAAATGCTTGCTTCTTTATTGACAGCAGAGGAGCGTTAGAGTCTTTAAATAGCAGACGCCCAGTATATCAGAATATTGTGATAGAGTGTAGAGAGAATGTTAAGAAATTAGAAAAAACTGGGTATAAAGTAAGATTCATGTGGATCCCTTCACATGTGGGAATACTGTTGAATGAGGTAGTTGATGACATAGCGAAGAGAGCCACTGAAAAAACTCTTGTTGATGTTGTATGTCAGTTAACCTTGAAACAAATAAAAACAAGAATCAAAGAGTGCTGTGAGGCGGCTGAGGACAGGGAGGAAACGGAGAGACGACCCACTGAGGGCTGGGTGCGTCGTCGAGAGAGTGCTGTGAGGCGGCTGGGGACAGGGAGGAAATTGAGAGACGACCTCACTGTGGCTCGGTGAAACCGTCGAGTAGATCTTTCAGGTGGCTGAGGGCAGGAAGGAAAAGCAGAGACGAGGACTTGGGGGGGAAGGGGGTGGGGTTGGGCTCTGGATGGGTGAGGGGAGGGGGGGTGTTAAGGTGGGTCGCCGAAAACGGAGATTCGAACTCAAAAGGCGGGCTAGGATCCGTCCCTGATCCGACACAGAGACAGAACGGAGAGACGACCCACTGTGGCAGGGTGAGGCGCCGAGAGAGTCCTGTGAGGCGGCTGAGGACAGGGAGGAAACGGAGAGACGACCCACCGAGGGCTCGGTGCGTCGTCGAGAGAGTGCTGTGAGGCGGCTGAGGACAGGGAGGAAACGGAGAGACGACCCACTGAGGGCTGGGTGCGTCGTCGAGAGAGTGCTGTGAGGCGGCTGGGGACAGGGAGGAAATTGAGAGACGACCTCACTGTGGCTCGGTGAAACCGTCGAGTAGATCTTTCAGGTGGCTGAGGGCAGGAAGGAAAAGCAGAGACGAGGACTTGGGGGGGTGGGGGGGGGGGTGGGCTCTGGATGGGTGCGGGGAGGGGGGGTGTTAAGGTGGGTCGCCGAAAACGGAGATTTCGCCTTTCCAGTGAATGCAACTTAAGCTTTGTTAATCTTTCTTCATATGAAAGAT